TGCGCGACCCCGGACCTCCAGACGGCCATGTACTACGCCGGGCGTTCGAAGCGTCGTGCGGCGGCATGCGATGCGCCTGGCCTCGAGCTCGCCGCCGCGCTCGCTTCGTCCTGCTCGCCTCGGTCAGCATACACTTTTCGGGCGGCCCTGTGGGACAGCCCTCGCCGAGGCTAACGCGCGTTTCGCGCGCCTGCTCGCCGCCGCTTTTACACCGGTGGAGTAATGGAACGCCGCCGCCAAGGACTATGCTACAACCGCGACGAGCCCTACGCCCCTCGGACATGTGTGTCACGCTTCTTCTACCCGGAGTCCGGGACTACATTGAGGAGGACGCCGCTACCGCCGAGGACGGGACGCGCCATACTACCAGAGGAGCCGCCGCCCAGGGCACGCGGCGTCGCTTAACGCCTCGTCGTGTGTCCTCCATGCACTTGCGGTGTATCCGGATGGAGAACACGATGTCGTCGCCGGTGATGGTCGGGGAGCGCCTCTGGCCTTTTCTCGACACGGCTCCACCCACAACTACCTCGGGGCGCAACCACGCGCCGCTGGGCTTCCGCCCACCGGGGCGCAGCCCGCGTCTGCCGCTAACGGCGATCGTCGTTGCGAGGGCATCGCCCGTCACATCCCCATCAAGATCGGGACGAGGACTTCTCCATCACATGCGTCGGCCTCGACTTGGGCTGCCGACTTCATCCTCGGCCGACTTCCTGCGGACCTTGGGCCCCATTCTTCGACTTCGAGGCCATGACGCTGGCCTTCAAGCGCGAGGGTTGCCGTCCCTCCGGAAGGGCGTGGCGGCTCGACTTCGGCCGCGCTTCAAAGAAGATGTGGCGGCGACCTCCGTCAACTCTCAAAGCAGCCTTTGCCGACCGGCCATATCGCAGAAAAGACGGCGCCATCTTCGAGGAGCCGCATGGCCTTCCACCGCCCGTCCAGACGACCACCGCAGATCCACCTCCTCGGCTCGGACACCGGGCTCCGTCAGGCGCCGCATCATCGCTACTCCCCACCGCAGAAAGGACGAGCTGGAACGGCAGTGCGAGGACATGCTCACCCAGGGCATCATCCGGCCTAGCACTTCGCCGTTCTCGGCGCCCGTGCTCCTTGTCCGCAAAGCGGACAAGTCTTGGCGCTTCTGCATCGACTACCGCGCCCTCAATGCCAAGACGCCCAAGGACAAGTTCCCCATACCGGTCGCGGATGAGCCTCTCAACGAGTTCCGCGAGCCCTTCCCCGACTTCCAACTCGAGGACGAGTTGTTTGCGCAGGCGGGGAGAGATGTTATGACCGGCATCCCCTATGCCAGGCGCAGGCCCAATAGTGGCTAGGCGGTCGGTCTGTTAAGGGGCTTAGAGGCCCAATTTATCGTTTATTTGGTATTTTCTTAGAGATAGATATAGTTCCTTAATTATAGCATCTATAGGGAAGGATAAATACTTGTAATCGTGGATGATTGGAATTAAGCAGAAAGCAACAATTAAGTTGCTGGCTTCCCTTGGGAGCCAGCCATCTCTGCCCTCTCACTCGCGTGAACAATACCCGCGTTACTGTAGCGCGACGTGGACTCTAGGGCTGCAGCAGCAGCCACCGCTCTCGCCGCCACACGGCCCTCGCCGTCGCCGAGAGTACAGACCACGCCCTCCCCTCTTCCACCCCTATAACTCCAGCAGCAAGAACGCGGTAGGGCATCAAGTCCTATCATATTCACACAATGCAAACTATCACTACTTGTGGTTTACAAAGAAACTTTTTCCTTTCATCATGCCTCACCTTTATTTCCTATCCTCTTCTTTTTTAGCATGGACCACCTTCTCTCTCCCCAAGCATATGTAGTTTTGCAAGCCACTATGACAAGTGTAGAGTACCTACTTTTTTATCCGATCCTACATGGCCCCTGGGGCTACTAGTAAAAAAGCAGCGTTGGGGAAGGCCTAGGCCTACATGCTGCTGGCCAGTCCATGCATGACCTCACTTATTCTCCTTGTTGCTCTTTTCTAACTATGTCTCTGCATCTCTTATTCTTGGTCTGATCTGGGTGCCACACAATCATTTAATCCAGATTGGTGTGCCATATGGCAGCCTCTGCAACTGCCCTATCCGGTGCTGGCACACTTATCTTACTTATCTAGTCCCAGCTCATGTTTCCGGTGTCTGCACGTGCAAGTCCCAGCTCTGCCCTTACATGCATTGCGCCTTCATCACTGTGCTTGGCTACAACACACCCTGGGTTCTATGCTCTAGGTGAACCTAGCTCGGCTACCACACGATTTCAATTGCTCCACCACTCCTGGCTTACACCACACCCTAAGCCTCCCCTACCAATAAATCATTGATAAGATTTAAGTTTTTTTTAGAAGTTAGTTTATTTGTTGCAGAGGTAGCCTCACCCCAACTTGCTTGGGACTGAAAGGCTATGTTGTTGTTGTTGTTGTTGTTTCCTTGGGAGATGGGAGAGAGGACAACTATGGGGACCACTTGTTGTCTGTTCTTTGAGTGGAGAGATGCAGAAGGTAGAAAAAGAATGAACTCAACAATTGAATATAATGTTCAATATAAGGAAATCTAGAATGATAAATCTCATTATCTAAGGAATGACACAAAACAAAGAGATATAAGATGTTTTCTCCAGTTAATTCGTTTCTGAACTTGATAGATTAATATATATGTTTGTTTACAGGTCCATATCGTGCAAAGGGGTGCAGTCCGTCCACTAATTGAAATGCTACAGTCAGCTGATGTCCAACTCCGGGAGATGTCTGCTTTTGCACTTGGCAGGCTTGCCCAGGTTTAATTTTTATTTTTAATATAGCATATTTTTTAATGTTTATGAGGTACTTTTACTGTTTTCTACTCTAGAGAATCAGTGGAGGCAGTGAAATAAAACACCACAGATTTTTTCTTGCTCTTTTTCAAAATCCACACAATGTATAACTTTATCAAATTAGTTCCCTTGCTTCTCTGTTGATGGGAACTATATGTGGGGACTGGGGATGCAAAGATCATAATATGTTTAGGGCAAAACCATAGTGAGTTTGCTGGCACCAAATACCTTCCTTATCCAGTCCATCCTAGACATGGACAGATTTTCCAAATATGCGGGCTTCATGTTACTGGTGTCTGCATGTGCCAATCCCTTGCTCTGCCCTTATCTGCATTGCATCTTCACCACTGTGATTGTCAACAACACACCTGTGGTGCTGTTGTATTCGAGGTACCTCCGTACCACACACATTCCAATTGCTTCGCCAAGTAATTGAAGTTACGCAGACTTGTCTGCATCGATATTAGAATACCCAAACCAAGGAAGTTAGCGCCACGCCGACTTTTCGGATGGATCAAGACATTAAAAGGCCTCGCCTGACCCCAAGGCCATGGGCTCCGCCTTGCCCGACCTCGAGGTCATGGGCTTCGCCTCGCCCGACCCCTTGGGTGCGGGGTCTCGCCCGATCCCTAGGACGCTGGTTTTGTCTCGCCCAAGGCCGCATGGGCTCCGCCTTGCCCGACCTCTTGGGTGCGGGTTCTGTCTCGCCCAAGGCCACAGTCTCCGCCTCGCCCAAACCCTTGTAAAGCGGGTCTCGTCTCGCCCAATCCCAAGCACGCTGGTTCTGTCTCGCCCAAGGTCATGGGCTCCGCTCTTTGCCCGACCTCGAGGTCATGGATTCCGATCAAGACGACCCCTTGGGTGCGGGCTCAAAATCTCGCCCGAGGAGGCTGAGGCTCCGTCTGCCTCGCCCGACCCCTTGGGTGCGGGTCCGTCTCGCCCCATGGCCACGGGCTCCGCCTCGCCCTGACCCCTTGGGCGCGGGGCCGCCTCGCCGAGGCCGCTGGCTCCGCCTCGCCCACCCCAAGGACGAGGGTTTGCCTCGTCCGATGGGACCCATACCGACGCTTAACCACCCAGTCCAAGCGTATGGGCCTAGGTCAAAACTCGACACTGGGGAAGAGATCGCACGCTCGATGTAACCCGTGGCCATGACGGGCCATACACGGGGATTCACATCAAGAACGAGGTTTCGGGCGTGTGGTGGTATTCGCTTAACCTCGTGGTGACGCCGACAGCGCGTGGATTCACCATGACGTCTCACGGATTTGAGTGGAACACCATGACCGGCAGATGACGCTCACAAGATTGTGCCGTGATTTAACAGGGCGCGACGTGGAGCCGCCCCTCGTTGACATCTATAGGATCGGCGGGACCCGCATGTAGAGAAGAAGGACACGGCGACACGGAAGCCTTTCTCTCTCTCGTTCTTCTCCTTCCTTTCCTCCATTGAACCCGCGCTTTCCCTTCGCCTATAAAGGGAAGAAGGCGCCTACTGAGGGGATGCGACAGAGAATCAAAACACAAGAGCACGACACGAGCACACGATCGAGCGGCAATCGAGCTATCAGCACCCGTTCACTCCTTCCACCAGAGACTTGGGATCCTTTCTCTCTCTCGCCTGTTTGTAACCCCTACTGCAAATCAAGTGCAGTTAACACCAATGTTTTTGAGGCGCCGCGGCGAGGCGCGGCGCCCGACCCCCTTCACAACGCCTAGGCGTTTGTGGCGGACGCCTAGGCGACGCCATACGCATATTGTAAGGCGTTGTAAGCTAGAATTTTATATACTAGTGCAGCACATACATACCTCGTTTGTTGCCAATTCTAGAGCCCATGTTCCTTTCTTTCCTTTCCAAAAGCTCTTCTCCCATATAGCATCCAACCCCTTGAAGGAAACTGCATGACAATTAAAGAATTCAGCAATCAAACACATTATCAGTTGCTGAGAATTAAATAGGAAACAATACACAAGAGGCAAGATAACAAATTAGCAAGCATTAGTGCATGCATGAGCATGACAAATGACATCATAGTCTGTCTCAAATAGTCCACAAACTTATAATGAGGTACTGAACTCTAAAGCATACTAATTAAGTCAACCACACCAAAAGTACAGCAAGGGTGCAAGACACAAAAGAATCCATCAGCAGGACTGCAAATCTCTGTTTTTGCACTCAAAATCCATCATCAAACTCATCAGGATCAACAGCCTTGTCTTCTTCAGTAGCAAGAACATTGCCATCTTCTTCACACTCGCTCACTTCCGCATCATCATGTGGGTCTTCAACTTCATCTTCCTCTTCTCCATCTTCAGTAGCAGTAGTAGGAACAGGAACATTTCTTGAACGACTATAATATTGAGTAGCAGTAGCTCTCCTAGGAAGATTACGACCCTGCAGCGCTTGTGATGCACCGGTGGCTTCATCAACATGCTGCCATGTGAGCTCATTGACAGCATCAGACCCTCGAGCACCCGGAATGGGCACATGCAATGAATCAGCCCATTCATTGTCCCAATCAAACTCCTCAATGACCAAAGGGTCATATTTCTTGCCTGCCTTCTCACGCATAAGCTGAAACCTTGTTCTCATCTTCCGATTGTATGAAACAAAAACAATATCATTCAATCTCTTGTGCAACAGCCTATTCCTTTTCTTTGTATGCATCTACAAACAAAAAAATCAGATGGGAAGCAAAACAAAAAATCAGATTGTATGCATCTAAATAGAAATTGTTAATCACAAGGATACTCACAAAATTGAAGGTACTCCAGCATCTCTCACAACCAGATGATGAAGCACAAAGACTAACTATACGCTTAACAAGTCTTTGTAGTTCAATGGCTCGGCCACCATAAGAATGCCACCAATCAACTGGATGAAAAGTACAGCACATATTAGGAGTTTGGAATGCAATTAAGTTGCTGAAATTTGCAAGCTGAGATTAACAACACTTACGAGGGCTCATTTTGTCATAGTTTTCCTTTGCCATTTTGTTTGAGAAGGCATCTCTACGTTGCTCTTCATACTCAATGGCGTGCCTATTGATCTTCATTTGTGTTTCCACATCTGGTATCATTCTTCCAAGCACTTCAATAAAACAACCTCTTAGCTGCACAACAGTGGCATCATCATTAGCTTTTACAAGAGGATAAAATTTTCCTGGGTTCAAATATAGTGCAGCCCCATACAATGGATGCTCCATTTGGTTCACCCAACGCTTCTCAATAATGTCCATGATACGCTTGAGCAGTCCCTGCTTGGTTGATATATTGAAGCTGAGCTTTATCCTATCTTTTGCATGATTCATTAGAGCTGTGACCTCTGGCATTGCAGGCTTCTCATCACCATCAACAGCCCTCAAAACAATTAAGAGTGGGGCTGAAGCTCATAGGCAATCTTCTACTGAGTTCCAAAACTCAGTAGATAGCACAATGTCTTGCACTTGTTGACCTGCTGTAGTTGTACACAAGTTGTTCCCAATCCATGCTTCACTAACAAACAAGCTCTTCAAGGCATCCTTGTTCTTGTACAAACTCTTCAATGTCAGAAATGATGTGGCAAATCGAGTCTTTGCTGCCCTAACAAGATCATTCCCACCTGTTTGAGCCCTCATTGCACTAAGAAGCCTCCCATGCCTATAAATGAATGTGGTGACACGCCTTGCACGTGCAATAGGTTTCTTAAATGCCTTCAAGTTCCCAATTTCTTCCAACATCAGATCCAAGCAATGTGCAGCACAAGGACTCCAAAACAGTTTGGGAATCCTATCCATCAAAATCTTACCAGCAGCCTTGTAGTTAGCGCCATTGTCGGTCACAACTTGAACAACATTGTCCTTTCCAATGTCCTCAATCTTCTCCTGTAACAAATCAGCTAACATTGTTGCACTATGAACTTGACTTGATGCATCAACTGACTCCAAAAAGTATGTTCCCTCAGGGCTGTTCACAAGAAAATTAATCAAGTGGCGCCCTCTCATATCAGTCCATCCATCTGACATTAGTGTACAACCATATTGCTTCCAGGCCTGCTCATGGTCCTTCCTCATGGCACTTGTCACCTTAACACATTCTTGAAGCAAAGGTTCACCAAGCTGTTGGTTAGTTGGAGGCTTGTACCCTGAACCATATTGGGCTGTTGCCTCACAGGCAATTTCAAATTGCCTTGAATTTGATGCATTAAAGGATACACCACACTCCATAAACCATAGTGCCCATTGCAAATCCACATATTGCTTCTCCTCAGTCTTTGTGCTGGACTCAATGGTGGGTTGAAAGTCCTTTGCACGCCTTTGATCTACTATCTTTTCAGGAGTTCTTCTAAGCATAGCAACAACAGACTTTGTTGTCTTTGGTGTCTTTGGTGTTGAATTGCCATTGCTAGGTCTTGAAGCCTTGAATTGATAGATAGCATGCCTTCTCTTGGCGGCTGTCCCAGAACTTGGTTTTGCAGCCGGTTTTGGTGTTGCACCCCCATCTGCTGCTGCCACCGCCACAACTTCATCTTCCCCATCTTCTTCCTCAATACCATCCAAGAACAAAGGCCTTCTTCTTTTCTTTTGCAAGTAAGCTTCCATCTCTTTCCTGATTTCAGTGGTAACTTTTGGACAAAGGACAATATCTCCATATCCACCAGCCAAATGTTGCTTGAACCTCTTTATGCCTCCTGAAGCCTCATTTCCACACAGGATACATGTCACCCAGTCTCTCCTAGCAGGGTCCTGCCAGTAGGCATATTTCCAGCCTGGATCATTGGACTTTGCTTTCCTTGCTGGATCAGTCTTGGGATCATAATCAGGTGCTTCACTTGAGCTTGCCATGTTGCTGGATGCTACATAAAAGAAAGCAAGAGCCTTATGTAGTGCAACATTCAGTTTTCACACTGACATTCAGTTTGCACACATGGAAGCAACATGGAAGCAGCCATTTTCAGACTGGTCACAGCTTGCACACTGACATCCAGTTTTCAACTTTGATAGAAAGAGAAGTTGACCAATAAGTAGAAAACAGATAGTCACTAGCTAATCAGGTTAAGCAAAAACAGCTATTTCAGAAAAAATTAAAACAATGATAATGAAGATAGAGAGCTGTTTCAGGCTAAGCAAAAACAGTCACAACAAAAATTCATCAACATTGGACTGTAAATCACCCTTCTAGTAGTTCAAAGCATCAGTTCAGTGCTATAGAAAATTGATGATAACTCTTCCAATAGTTCAAAGCATCAGTTCAGTGCTAAAGAGAACAATTGCATCAGTTCAGTGCTAAAGAGAACAGCTACATCAGTTCAGTGCTAAAGAAACAGCTATAACAATATCCAGGATTCCAGGTTCAGAGCAGAGCACGAGGAGGCAGAGCAGGTTCAGACTTCAGAGCAGCAGTACAGCAAGAGCAGACAGCAGAGGAGCACGAGATTTGGAAAAGGGCCCGACGGAAGACAAGCAGAGCAGACAGCAGACAAGCAGAGCAGACAAGCAGGGAGCAGAGTGGAGGCGGGGGACATACCAGGCGGAAGAGCCCGACGGAGGCGCAGTCAAGCGGAGATGCAGGGGCGGACAGCCAGGCGGAAGGGTCCGACAGCTCCACAGCGAGGGCGGCGGTTGCCAAGAGAAGCGCCACGATCGCGGGACGGGTGGCGGATCGAGATCATGGACGGCAGACGGAGCAGGCAGGCGTCGACGCGGAGAGTGCGGACGGAGGGAGGCGGTGGCAGCGGCGACGCGGCGATGCATCGCCTCCGCGGGCAGGGCGGACGGCCGGTGGATCTGAGCAGAGAGGAAGCGACCAAGCGGAGCTCGAGGTAAGCCACCGCTTTCTCTCTTCCTCTCCTCGCTCAAGCGCTCGCGCGCGCGTCGATTTCGCCAGTAGGTCCTATCTGGGCGGCGCGCGTGCTCGATTTCCGCGTCTGTTGTTTTTCACAGAGCGCGCGACGGACGATTTTCGCAGGTCGCGGTCTTTTTGGCGCTTCTTCCCCCGAGTAGGCATACGGCGTCATGGCATGGCAGTAGGCGCGTCGCGACGCTTTTCTACACCTAGGCGACGCCTAATACGATTAGGTGGACGCCATACCATTGCAAAAGTTGTGGCGCCCGACGCCAAAAAGACTCTGCCACGCCTTGTCGCCTAGGCGACGCCTCAAAAACAATGGTTAACACGAGCAGCAGCGAACTGGACGTAGGGACGTTTCGTCCGAACCAGTATAAACCCTTTGTGTCTTCTGAGCACACCATCCGAGCCAAATGCGCAAATACAAATTTACTCGTTGGTGGTCCGAAAACACCGGCTAGCTGGCACGCCGGTAGGGGCTTTTTTATGCGCTCTCGGCGTCCACATCGGCCGTGGATGGCTAGTCACGGCGTCGGTGGGTCCCGGCGCAAGACGTGCGCGCCGGGAACATGGACTTCATCGTTACGACGGAGGGAGAGTTGGCGCAGGTCCCCGCCGCCGTCCAGCCTCCACTCCGACGGCCTCGACGCGATCGCCGAGGCGCTTGAGGAGCTGCAGACTACACGCACCGGAGGCTCGCGCCCGGGAGCGACTCACTCTCTCGACTTCGACACGGGGAGGCTAGAGCGCCCGGCTCGGTGCCTTCTGGGACCCGACTCGCTCGTCACGAGGCGCGCCTACTGAAGTTTAGGCATCTGCGCCGCTTGGAGTCCGCCTACCCCATAGGCTAGGCAAGACCCGTCGCCCAGCCGATTAAGCGCGCGCTTAGGCGGGGGATGAGGCGTCGCTTTTTGAACTTTGGGGTGGATCAAGTGGCGACAAGCTTCTGGCATTCTCTGTGTCAAGAGTGTATCACAAAAGCTAAAAGGCAAGTTCTATAGAACGACGATTAGACCGGCTATGTTGTATGAAGCGCGAATGTTGGCCTACAAAGATTCGACATGTTCAACAACTGAGTGTTGCAGAAATGCGTATGTTGCGATGGATTTGCGGTCACACATGAATGGACCGAGTTCGGAACGATGATATATGTGATCGCCTAGAGGTAGCACCAATTGAAGAAAAGCTTGTCCAACATCAGTTGAGGTGGTTTGGCCATGTCCAAAGGAGACCTCCAGAGGCACCAGTGCATTGTGGAGTCCTAAGCCAAGCTAATAATATGAGGAGAGGTAGAGGAAGACCAAAATTGATATGGGGGGAGGCAATAAAAAGATATTTGAAAGCTTGGGATATACCTAGAGATCTATGCTTGAATATGAGTACTTGGAAAGCAGCTATTGAAGTGTCTGAACCGTGACTTGGAGCTCTTGGTGGGTTTCAAATCTAGCCTACCCCAACTTGCTTGGGATTGAAAGGCTATGTTGTTGTTGTTGTTGTTGTTGTTGCTGCATATCATATAATGCAAGGGGAAATCCCCATTCATCTTTTCCTTTTACTTATGGGTTAGTGGGATTGTTTATTTTTCTTTCTTTCTTTCTTTCTTTCTTTCTTTCTTTTTTGCTTAGTTGCAACTCATAATCTAATCTAAAGAGTCTTTTATCAGGACACACATAACCAAGCAGGTATTGCATATAATGGTGGCTTGGTGCCTTTGTTAAAACTTCTTGACTCAAAAAATGGATCTCTGCAACATAATGCTGCATTTGCCCTTTATGGAGTTGCAGATAATGAGGTAATTTACGATCTTTTTTTTTCACAAGGTTTGCCATATCTCTCAAATATCCCTTTTCCACTATTGGTTAATAATTCCACACTCCATGTTCCTTTGTAATGGGATTAACTCATTTTTTATAAAATGTTTATCTTATATTTCTTATCCTCATTGTTTCTGAAGTAAATCACTGTTCTTTCTTATAGGACTATGTATCTGACTTCATTAAAGTAGGAGGTGTCCAAAAGTTGCAAGATGGAGAATTTATTGTCCAGGTACATTGGCCTTCATTGTATATTGGTCACTTTGTTGTGAATATTTTTTTATTAAGCTATTCTTAATTTCAGGCAACAAAGGACTGTGTGGCAAAAACATTGAAGAGGTTAGAGGAGAAGATAAATGGACGAGTAAGTTCTGCTTGCAAGGTTTCTGTATTTCGTTGTTTGCGTATGTGCTTGACTATAGTATTTATGAAGCTTGTTCCCATGTGATGGTTTACAGGTGTTGAAACACTTGCTTTATTTGATGCTAGTAGGAGAGAAATCTGTGCAAAGGCGTGTTGCTCTGGCTCTTGCACACCTTTGTGCCCCTGAAGATCAAAGAACAATTTTTATTGATAGTAATGGTAAACAATTTTGCAACCACTGAAAAATTGTACCTTTTCATTTCCATTCTACTGTGGTGTTCTTCTTGAATTTAAATTCTGGGTCATCCAGGTCTTGACTTGCTTCTTGATCTTCTGATTTCCATGAGCTCAAAACATCAACAAGATGGCTCAGCAGCATTATACAAATTGGCCAACAAAGCTGCAGCACTTTCTCCCATGGATGCTGCCCCTCCATCCCCAACACCTCAGGTATGCAAAAGAATTATTAAATTTAAGTTTACTTTGTATTACGTATGCTGTTTGAGTTGCAGTGACTTTATGATATGGCTAGATGATTGGGTTTATTAAATCTGGGGCTGCCTAAATCTGGCTAGACTTAGAACAATGGCAAGGTTGTGATCCTGATCGCCCTCCCTAGGAGGCTCTGATCATAATAACTCACTTCTTGCTTATTCCTCTTCGCTTAGCCGGCCCTTAGTTATAGCACCTAATGGCCGGCTGTCAACTAACAGAGTCAATAACCAAACGCATGCAGATCCTAAACCCAAACGCATGCAGATCTATCGTTTAGCCAAAGTCCCCTAAACAGATAACTATGGCTATTTTTAGCCACTAACAGTTCCTGACACCTTCGTCTTCTTCTTGCTGTATTGCTTCCCAATGAAAGTGTCCACAACACTTCTACCCTCCTTTCGAAACAGCTCGTCCTCGAGCTGTAGGCCTGCTCGGAACTGGGGCTGAGCAATACTGAAGGTGATGAAGCACACTCACTTGAGCAGTCAGCTGCTGGAATAAGACAATCATGGCAACGACGGAAGATGAGGTCTGAAATTGCGCCACTGGAGTCAATTCAGCCAGCGGGGGTGTTGGTGCTGGTGTCATTGGTGGTGCCATGGTGGTCGCAGGGGAAGGAGATGCCACTGCCGTCAGGATGTGTTCGACAAAGGCTGCCAATACTGATGGGGCAGGCATGTCCACAGCTGACGAACATGGCAGGCAATGTCGGATACGGTGGCACATTTGGCAGCTGCAAGAACGGTGCTGATGCCATGGGTGTCACCACAATTGACGGAGTTGCTGTTGGCAAGGCTGTTGATGTAGAAGACAGTGGCGGTGTGGTGCCCAAGACTGAGGAGAACACACGCTCCGGTGGAGCGGACAACGAGGCCAGAGAGTTTGCTATTCCGCCAACCCTGTCCGACGGCTTCAGTCCTGGCGGTGCGGATGGCATCACTACTGATGGCGTTGTGAGGGCTCCAAGTAGGGTTGGAAAATTCTATATATGGTGGGGTGGGCTTGTAGATGATGCGCTTAGCTTAGTCAGTTACTCTAACTCTGGTACCCGTCGTTTTCTTCGTGCAAATTGTTAGTAGCTTCTTTGTAAAAATCAGTCCACTTCGTTTTGGATTTAGATGGAACAATCGGCGTGGTCGTATCACGGAACTGAATACGATACGCTTATTCAGTCAAGCGCATACGACCACAACTTTTCGGGTGTACAAGTCGTCCAGTAGCGCCCACGTTTGACTAGGTGGGAGCTGCAATGCCTGAAGCGCAGACACTGACCCCGACTGGCATTTGTTTTTTTGATGCTATACGACATCGTATTCATGACCGGAGTGTACAACATCGTATTTTCGACCGGAGGCTCCAAGTGTTGCAGGCCTTGCCGATGAAGTGGCCAGGGCCAAGCAGGGACGCCGCATTGGTGGAGTGGACATCAACGCTGGACATGCAATCGCCTGGTGCTTCTCCTTCACCATGGCTGGCGTAAATGTGACCAGAGGAGTAATCACAGGTGGGGATGGCGCTGATGGTGGAAGCAGTGGCGACATTGTCAGTGGGGCGACAGCCATCGGTGGAAGCTTGTGGGGAAGTTGTCGGTGTAGCCGCAATTGTTGGTGGAGGTGAAGCTGTTGGTGTTGGCGATGCTGCCGGCGGGGAAGATGTGATGGCTGCTGGTATAGCAGATTGGGTCGTCGCTGGTGGGGAAGAAGGCGGTGATGCCGTTGTGCCCAGGGACAGGGACGACTGGATTGGAGCTGGTGACGAGTCCCGAGCCTTCATCTGATCGCTAAGTTGGAGGACCGTCTCATAGATCCGATCGATCCCTGCAGAGATGCGATCATACCTCGCAGAGATGCCCTCAGCGATGGTGAGGAGGTCGCCCATGGCTAGGAATTGTGGACGAGCAGATGTGATCTGATGGTGGGACTGGGTGGGAATGTGCGGCGGTGGTACAGTACCACGGGGTTTATGGTGACGGAAACAGATGTGGTTGCAAGATCAAAGGCTCTGAATACCAAGATGATTGGGTTTATTAAATCTGGCTAGACTTAGAACAATGGCAAGGTTGTGAGCCTGATCGCCTCCCTAGGAGGCTTTGATCATAATAACTCACTTCTTGCTTATTCCTCTTAAGCTTAGCGGCCCTTAGTTATAGCACCTAATGGCCGGCTGTCAACTAACAGAGTCAATAACCAAACACATGCAGATCCTAAACCCAAACGCATGCAGATCTATAGGTTAGCCAAAGTCCCCTAAACAGATAACTATGGCTATTTTTAGCCACTAACAGTTGCTGACACCTTCGTCTTCTTGCTGTATTGCTTCCCAATGAAAGTGTCCACAACACTTTATGAGCTGACTGTGGTATGGTTAAAAATAGTATCACAATGGCATGATCTTCAGTGTGCTAGGATGCACATGAATTTATTTTGATTAATCATTGTGGAATGGTGCTTTGGTTCAACAAGGTATATAAGGGCCCAATTGAGTCTCTTGTAGTCCAACCTGTTGTGAATGATAGCGTGTACAACCTGCTGGAGGAAAATAAATGTTCCTCGGGCATGCCATGAAAGGTAAATGTTGGACTGCTGATCAGCTTGCAAAACATGGTCTGTCTCATCCGGATAAATGCCTACTGTGTGATCAAGAGGAGGAAACAGTCCAGCACATCCTTACAACCTGTGTCTTTGCAAGACAGTTTTGGCATAGGTTGTTCATTCTTCATTGCACTTAACTTGCAGCAGCTGGTGCCTAGCATTACTAAACATAGTTTCACTACTTGGTGGCGGAGAGCTAGCAAAAGAGTTAGCAAAGATCAAAGAAAAGGGGTTAACACCCTCATCATCTTGGGTCCCTGGATGCCCTGGAAGCAGAGGAATGCGTGTGTGTTTGTGGGAAACTCTCTAGTGTCCCTACTACACCTAGAAACCTGAAGTTAGAAGCTCATCTCTGGACGCTTGCTGGGGCTTCCAAGCTACAGGGTCTTGGGCTAAGTCGGTTAGAAATCTAGGCTAGCTTAGTTCTTTGTTGTAACCCCCCTTACCTTGGTCCTATTAAGAGGGGGTGCTTGTATGGACCATTTCTTTTCCCTATAATACAAAGATATGCAGCTCTCCTGCATGTTCGATAAAAAGAATATCATGTCGATATTTTTATACTGCTTGGCATTGTGTTAAAAATTGTGGTCAGAATTTAGCTATCATTAGCATTTTTAACAAGATTTCCAAACACTGCCTGTATTTTGCTATCCTAAATAAAGTCATTGTGACATTGTGGGATTTTTTCCATCCAATTGTTCTGGTAATGGCTGGGGCACTGGCAATTGTTACTGACTTTATATTTCATTGCAGGTTTATCTTGGTGAGCAATACGTGAATAGTTCAACACTTTCAGACGTTACTTTCTTGGTAGAAGGTTGGTACTATTTCATGACCGTGATTTCATCAGTAGGTACTTTAAATAATTCTTTTCTATCGTCTCCCAGATAATCTTAATCCCTTCTTCTACAGGAAAGCGCTTTTATGCACACAGAATTGCTTTGCTTGCTTGTTCAGATGCATTTCGTGCAATGTTTGATGGTGGGTACAAGGTGAGTTTTGACTTGCCACAACATAATGTGCTTTTGCTGGTTTTAGTCTGTTGATCCCTTTCCGTAGTTGATATATTGCTGCTGTATATAGTATGTTAGTTTTGAACAAACCTTGAATCTCATGTCTAATTCAAAGGACATTTTCTTAACCAGGAAAAGGATGCAAGAGACATTGAAATTCCAAATATCAGATGGGAGGTCTTTGAACTCATGATGAGGTTAGTAAGTCATTGACCTCCCTTCTCGTTTGGCCACAGTTCTCTTTCTGTTGATGAATCTGTAACTATTTTTCCTCTTTTCTTTTTTATGCCACTGTATGTTTATGCCACTGTATGCTGGATTAAAGTCTGAAACCCTCTTTGGTTTTGCAGATTTATCTATACAGGGTCAGTGCAGGTTACCAGTGAAATTGCACAGGATCTTCTTAGAGCTGCTGATCAGTATCTCTTAGAAGGCCTCAAACGCCTATGTGAATATACTATTGCGAAGGTGACTAGAAAAACTACTCTCTATTCCTTGTTTAAACCGCATATTAGATATTAATTTGAATGCCATTATTTGCCTTGTAGGATGTGAATCTAGATAACGTATCTGACATGTATGACTTGTCCGATGCCTTTCATGCCGTGTCACTAAGACATACATGCATCTTGTACATTCTGGAACATTTTAACAAGATCTGCACCAGAGCTGGGTACCTTCTCTTGCTAATAACCTTTGATCTGAGACCAATACGATTTCAAGTAACTCAAATATTAACACGCAATCTTGGCATGCAGTTCTCCACAGCTGATCCAGCGTGTCATTCCAGAGCTCCGCAATTTCCTAACCAAGGCATTGAGTTCATCAAGAAGTCCGAGTTCAAGCGACAGGAACTCAGACTTTATTTTAGTCCCAATTCATTGACACCGACGCCTTCATCTGACCAAAGTTGCTGGAGATCCTGTACAGTAAAGTTTCTGGCGCTGAGCGTTCGATGGTATCTATTGTGGGTACATGGTGGCCGGGTCCTTGAAAGTTGACATCAGCAATGTAACAAACTTTTCTAAAATTTAGTAGAGGATATGACCAAAGTCATGCATCGACTAGCTTACACTGGGATAGGCTGTAGTTGGATGGTCCTGGCCGTAATTCGTCGGTCTCAGCATTGTTTCTGAGTTTAGTGTTTGTTTCCAGTTCACAGTTCAGTGTATGCCCGCATCTGTTTAAAGTATGAAGCTTGAGCAAGTTAGAAATTAGCCCCTGTAGTGATAAAGCTGCCCGTTAATCTCCTAGTGTGGAACTACCGATTGGATATACCGAGACAACTATGTAACATCATACTCCCTTCGTCCTAAATAACTATCGTTTTCGTTTCTCGAGAAATAACTGACTAAATGCATCTAAAAAATTATTAGTATTTATGGTACAAAATTAATATCATTAGATGGATCGTCGAATCTATTTTTATAATAAATTTATTTTGAGATATAAATGTTGTAAGTATTTTTTACAAATCTAGTTAAACTTAGGGGGGTATGGAAACCAAAAGCCACAGTTATTTAGGGGCGAAAAGAGCAGATGATATTAGATGCATGATATTTGCTGATAAGGTTTGGTCAAAGTCTGAGGCAGAGTCACTAATCATCGCAGGAACAGAATCTAGTGAACCTTAGCTAATCCGGCAACTTTTCCTTTAAAAAATATTTCTATAAGTCTTCATTTTTAGAAAGTTACAAAGCTGCACACCTAATTTTTAGGTATAATATTTTACGAGACATAACTTATTAACAACTTAGTTAATATGTTTTTTTAATATACTTTATAGATAACTTGTCATGATAATATTTTTATATAACTTTTGAAGTCTAACTTTTGTTCATAAGGCAAACTTATTCTTAACAATTTTTCAACATAACTTTTATAAATACAACTTTACTTACATAACAAATTATATGAATATCATAACTTGTACACGTAAATTATTGTTTTCGAACCTCTTTTGAAAAATATACATATTGTTTATCTAACATAGTTTTTATGTAATTTGTTTTGATCAAATTTCTCAAACATATAATAAAAAAAGGAAAAAGAAAAAAGACAGGAGAAAAATGAAAGGAGAAAAAAGAAGTGAGAAAATAAAATGCGATAGAGAAAAAAAATAAAAGAAAAAAGTGAGAAAATTGAATGGACGTTAGTCATGAACATGAACATAGATAAATCGCTCTGACCGCAAGGGGAGAGAAAAGGAGAAAGATATACTCAACCTGTCCCAAATTATAAGACGTTTTGACTTTTTTAAATACATAGCTTTTGCTATGCACATAGATACACGCTATGTCTAGATACATACTAAAAGCAATATATGTAGAAAAACTAAAACGTCTTATAATTTAGAATGGAGGGAGTACTAAGTTATAGCAAGAACGGTAGACATAGGAAGATATTTGCTAGTAATATATTATTTTTTTAAAAGGCGGAAGTCAATTAAAAAAAGCAAGCAAAACACAAAATAAAAAGGCCCCGTCCCTCAAGTTTGAGCCTAGCGCAAAAGCCGATTCCAAATGCAAAATTTGTGCACAAACATTTTTTTGTCCACCTCTATGTGATCCAGACCCATAACTTATACTCCCTCCATATCGGATTTAGAAGTCGTTTAGGATATGATTGTACTTACCAAGGAGTCATTAATTAAGGGGTATTTTCCTCTGTCTACCCCTATTAAATACGGCTGCGGGTGCATTCCATACGAAAAACAACCACAGTTCAAAAATAGCGCAGCGAGGCAAGTGTCATGAGGTCCTGGGTTCGATGCCCTGGCGTGCACATTTTTTTTGTATGGCCTGCTCGCACAATTTTTGCACGGATGCATCTACTGGCGGCGAGATTTTTGCGCAGATGTTTTGCTGCGAATTTTGGATCATGGCCTGCCCGTTTGGGCTCCCTGGAGCAAGATTTCTGCTCGTTTGGGCTCCTGGCGGCAGATTTTTGCACGGACGCATCTCCTTAGCGGCGCGATTTTTGTGCAGATGCTTGCATGCCGCCAATTTTGGATCTTCGTCTATGCATGCAGCTGCTGCGGCTGATGCTTGCATGCCGCGAATTTTGGATTTTGCGCGGCCGTGCGTGCGAGCGAGCAAGCAAGGAGAGAAGCGGAGGGGACCACGGCGTGATTTACTCTGGTAACTAAATAAATGAGCCCGTTAACCAAGGGTCAGGGGTATTCACGTCCAAAACAAGGTTAGCGAAGAAAAACGACTTCCTTTGCGCAAATGACGTCGGTGCGTAGAACGACTACTTTTTCCGATACGGAGGGAGTATGAGTTAGAATAACTCTCGTCTAGCAATAACAAATACAGAGTCCGATTCCACTGCATATTAAGTCACACCCTCACTCATACGAGTCCGAACAACTCGTATCTACCGATGATATGAAACCCTACTACTATATGTATTGAGTCCTATTATAACACACAAAGGTCCCGTTCGCGTGCTCTTAAACCCGGTTTGATCCGCTTATTTTTTCATCCGGAACAGTATTTTTCTCTCACAAATTTCTCCAGTATTTCTCCAAATCATCCAAATTCCTCCAGAATTCAGACAAGCGAACAGGCCCAAACATATTTGCTAGTCAAACTTAAATATGTTCTTCACTTAAATATTTATGTATCTGTATTGCAACTACAGCAACATCGTCACGAAGCAGCGAGTTGTGGGAGGATGGCATATATAAATGCTTTACCTTTTGCCCTTTTCTCTCTCTCAGAGTCCGGATTCCTTGCACCGACACGAATATCTTGGACGAGGTGGAAACCGACACGAATATTTTGCTGCAACGGATAAGGAAGAACCAAATGAAACGAAAGCGACTGCACCGCTTTGAAGCTCGACTGCTTCGTCACGTACCCATGGATTGCCACTACTTGTCCCGGCTTCTCTAAGCACTACTTATTACCTATTGTATGTAATTATTACACGTAATAAGTAAGTTTTAGTTAAGATGGCTTTTGTTAGTCTTAAGAGACAAGCTACAAACAGGCACATAATTGTTGTGTGCCATATCATTATCATGTGATAATGCCTCTGTGCTGAACAGTGAGTGAGTGGCCCTTCTCACCCCTCTCTCTCTCTCTCTCTCTAGAGAGAGGGAAGCGGCTGCTGCTCGCCTGCTCCTTGTGGGGGAAAGGACAGCGGCGACGGTGGCGGGGAGTTGGACCTGAAGCCCGGATGCTTTCTCCCGAGACACAGCTACACTGCTAGAGCACTCACTATGTAAGGAAATCTCTCTCTCTCTCTCTCTCTCTCTCTCTCTCTCTCTCTCTCTCTGGTTTAGATCTCTAGCTACAGAAGGTGCTAGTTAGCTAGCGGCGGACGGGGGGCTTTCACTTGCTCCAATCGTGGCGATTTGGGTTAAGATTCTGGCAACTGCTCAGGTACGACCCGCTGTGGTCTCTGTTCCCCTAATTTCGTGCAAGGTTTGTGCATTCGGTGTCGATGCCGACAAAATCTAATCTAGGTGCGCAAAAGCGACGGGATTGCTCAGTACTCTAGATTTGATGGTCGTGTGGTGCGACCTTTTTACAGGAAATGGTGTGAGGTTTGTGCATCTCAGCAGCCTTTTGCTGTTCCCCTGATATATATATATATATATATATATATATATATATATATATATATATATATATATATATATATATATATATATATATATATATATATATATAAAATTTTGAAATAAAGGAGGCCAGTTGGCCAGATATTCTTCGGAATGGTAGATGATGCCAAAACAGGAGATGGGTTTCTGTATATTTGGAACTATATTTGCCTTTACGTTTCTTGTTTCATGTGAGGGAATGAAAGCCCATTGTTCGGCTCAGGGCGGTAGAGAACCATGCGCGCAATGCTTTCATGTTACTTGGCAGTGCTGAGACCAACCTCATGAAGTTATTATTTGTCTGTATGAGGCACACATGCATTCATAGAGAACAACTAGACTTCACAATGGCGTTACAAGTAAATCGGACATAAAGAGAACAAAATTGCAGTATCCCATGTTCCTGCTCACAGCAACATATTTGTAACCATGTTGTCATAAAACACATGGATTTGACATTTGACCCTGCATCTTATGGGAAGCTTTTGTGTGTGCTTGGATATCAAAGTCTCTTTCCAAATTTAGTTGTTGTAATATATGCATCAGTATCTAAGGTTTTTACCTATATTGCCCCTTCCATCAACAGAACATTTGTTGAATACGAATTGCTTTGTCTTTACAGCACTAATGTTTGCCTATGACAATGGAGTCACCTACAACTGCCGCTGGTGATGAACTGGAGAGCTACTTGTCCTTGGGTTTGACAGTATCCCACTCACAGAAAGATGATGCTGAATTTCCAAAGGTTCTGCTGCTTCTCTCAGCGTATCTTGACAAGAAGGTTCAGCAGAATGAAGAGTTACTAGATTCCAGTAAAATAAAGGAGTCAACCACTATCTTTCATGGTCAGAGGGTGCCTGAACTTAGTATAAAGCTCTATGCAGAACGCATTTTCAAGTATGCAAAGTGCAGCCCATCTTGCTTTGTGTTGGGACTTATCTACATGGAGAGATATCTACGGCAACCAAACATTTACATGACGTCATTTAGTGTCCATCGCTTGCTTATTGCAAGTGTTGTTGTTGCTGCCAAATTCATAGATGATGCGTAAGGACCCACCATAACAGCTTTACATTTACATTTTCACATATGTACTTTGTATGAAAGTATGATCTTACATACTGTTAGCCATAAACTGATATCAGGTCTTCAGTAATGATACTGACCATAGATGCAAACTCAAACCTTAGCTGGCTCAATAAACTAGCATCACTAGGAAATGTCCAAATATGATCTTTTACCATCCGGAACAACTTTACATGGTTTGTGGTCAGCTATCTTCTTTGGTATGGAAGCAATTTTCTTTATATTATACAAGAATTAAGAAGCCTCTTTATCTCTAAATGCTAGACTTGTTTTCTCAGTTATTTGTCAATTTTTTTATTTCCGGGGGGGTCATGTTTGTCGTAGTACCTTTTTTTGTTAAAGCACTACTTAATTGGACTGCATCAGTCAATTAGTAGTAACTTTTTTTTGTTAAACCACTAGTTGTAACAGGTGATAGCTTATGATGGAATTTAAGGATAGTAATGAGGGCCAGGTGTTGGTGGCCAATATGCCCCAGATTAGTAAGTGAATTCCACCCTGACTGTGGAAAATAAACTTATAACCACACTTCAAGTAAAAGAAAGCTGATATTGATCAAGGTTTTGTTTATTCCATAACGAAGATAAACTGAAGAAAGTTTTCCAGTAACTGTTTTGGATACATTTTATTTGCAGGTTTTTCAACAATGCATACTACGGGAGAGTTGGAGGAATTACCACAAGAGAGATGAATATGCTTGAGCTGGATTTGTTGTTCAGTCTGGACTTCAGGCTCAAAGTGGATATAGAGACTTTCGGAAGCTACTGCTTGCAGTTGGAGAAGGAAGCACTGGTTCTTGTTTTGGAGAGACCAATTCAGGTCCAAGCAGCCAACGTGACTAAACACTTGATTTGTAACAGCAGTGCCGATGAGACTTGCAAACACGAGCTCGTGCGGGAAAGGTACAGCAGTCAGGCTGTCCATGGTTGTAGCTGGTAAATCTGATATTTGCAGATAGTTTTGAAAAAGTGCGTGGGTCCAAGTACTACTGATAATTCTTTTATTTGACATGTAAGTTGTTCAATTGTTCTGGTTAGTAGGGCTGTTCTGGTTAGTAGCGCTGTTCAATTGTTCTGCAGTTTGAAAACATAACTGGGGTCTGGCCACGTTCGGTTCAGTGCTTGCTGTTTATGTTAATTGGAAGTCATCAAGAATGTGATTGCCAGACCTGTGATCGATCACTAAGAAACATTATGATGGCGGCAGAATCTGGGCGTTCCATGAACATGATTTAAAACTGCACAAGAGTTGTAAAGCAAGCGATTCATAGTAACGAGCAAATACAATCAACGACTTCCATGAACGATGGTAACATAGCTTTCTTAGTAACGAACAAATACAATCAACGACATCCATGAACAATTTTAACATAGCTTTCTTATCAACCAGTAAGAACTAAGCAGAATCCATTTAAATTTAAAGATGCTGAAAAGAACATCTTCTGTCCTAACACGGTTTCACTAAGAACACGCTTAAGGCACCATCATTCTCACCACACTGCAGCTCCGTTTGAACGTCCAAACATTTGCTGTACCTTCGCTTCCAGACTTAGATGACAGATTGTCTTCTCTTGGCGTTGAGCACCCGCCGCGCTTTGCCGGCTATCCCCACAGCCATATTCTCACGCAGAGCTGGGTCGAAGATGCCCAAACCAGAAGTTGGCCGAACACGTGGAGGCGTAACTCTTTTCTGGATGCTGAAGCACAGCTTCGCTGCGTTTGCAGGACCTCCTGCCGGTGCCATTCCCAGCTTCTGCTGCGGTGTGACCTTGTTCCACATGCCCACATTTGGAGGAGGGCTTGTGAACTTGCTGCTGCTTCCCAAATCAAATTTCCTGTACTTTGCTCCATCTGGGGTAGCATAAACAGGTCCACCATGTCCTGCTAGGGGTGTTGCTGGAACCAAATTCACACCAAATGTTGCAACTGATCCTCTTGGCAGTTGAGAGCCTCCTCTCTTCTCGTTTAGCACACAAAAATGCTCCCTCACAGAAGGTAGTATTGCCATCGAAGATCGCCTCTTGGGCTGGATGGGGACATGTCGCATCACCGGGGTAAGTGCAACGCGCCTCGCTCTGCCAAGAGCCTTATTAGGATCATCCACAGGATTTGGTTTATTCATCGCGACAGGAATGTTCTCTTTGTTGTTAATTGTGGGGGCTTTGAGCCTCCATCTAGAAGGGCCTGAAGGTGGTACGTAGCTGTTATTCCTTCCCTGAGATTGTCTCTGTCTCGGTGGAACAAGTGGCGGCCTCGAGGATCTAGCAGAATCCCTAGAAGCCCTCTTCTCATTACCTAATTCATTTTCCAGCTCTCTAATCTGTACAGAGGAGTACATTTCATGAGCACAGGTTAGAATACACATAGGGGACCAGTCTTTAGGAACTAGAAATAACTGACTCCTACTACTTACCCGTTGCTGATAATTTCTGCATGCTTGTTCAGCATCCTTCACCTGTTGCAAAACATTTTTTGTGTTAACATTTGATTCCATGACAGTAGGTATCCAGTAGGATCCAACCAAATCAATATAATGAGACTCACCTTTTCATTTAGTGTCCTGAAGACATTCTCACGAGAAGCATGCTTGAGCTGCATCAGCTGCAAGCGTTGATTCAGCTGTGCATTTTCCTTTTCCTCATGCCGAAGTTTTTCAGTCTGAAATAGATTTTATATAGTTAATATAACCAAACTATATTGTGTCATAACTACTCAGTGTGATTGGAGAGTCAAATTACCATCTGCTTGAACTTCAAAGTTTCCGCTGGATCAACTTGCTTACGAGCAGGGCCGTGTTCTACTGACCGGACTCTACTCGCAAAATTGAGTGAACTGAGAGTTTCTCCTGAATCCATAGAGCTTGGACTTATCTGCACGAACATTAGCGTCTTGCAATCTCCGCCTGTAAAAATGTTGAATAAGCAAGTTCATCACCTTGTCATTTTTTTGGTACATTCTAGTACACTAATGAAATCAATAGGATATGAAACTTCATCAGTTTGCTAAAAAGAACAGTGCAATTGTCACGTGAGTAGTACAAGGAGAAAGCTTACCTAAAGAGCTTTGGAGCAAATGAGTCAACTTGGAATTCCTAGTTGACAGCAAAAAGGAAATGGAGGTGGTAAGACCAAGATAATTTAAGCAGCTAAGCAAAGTAGATACCTTAGTATGTGAATAGGAGGACTAACCTGTATGGAATATGGGAATTTTTTGAGGCAAGAGCAGATATAACATCACCCAAGGCAGATAGTGATTTGTTGATGAACTGTGATTCTTTCAGCCTATCTCCTTCTACCCCAGTTTTAGCTATTCTCTCACTTCCAGCAAGATCAACCAGCCACATGTGGCTTCTGCTCCTCTGACATGTCACCAAATTCTCGCTCCTAACAGTGACCCTAACCAAACTGCAAATAGATTGCAAGAGGCAAAATGTTTTATCTCAGTGCTATAGTAATGATAATTGACAAAATCTGAATCTAAACGATAGTGATCACCAAAGCCCTCACCTGTGAGAGCGGCTGCTGAGTTCATTAGCATTGGTTGAGCCAACAGATCTATTTTGAGCACCAAACTTCAGTTTCTCCCAAACACCATCTATATTATAAACTGGAGCCTCAACTAAACCATGAACTTCTTGTGTTCCATCAGCATCTTGCTTAATATCCAACCTTGAATTGCAACAAGATAACATGTTTAAGCAATGGATCTTTTCTCGCCAAAAAGAGAAAGGAAGGAATTGTACCTTTTGATTGATCATTGCTCTCATCAAGAAGATCTCTGATCTTTTCGTTGTAAACTTCAAGATGCTTACAGAAAATGTGTATGTAACAGATGCACTTTTTTTCTGACATTCTGAACAGTTCTTCCAAAGCCCTATAATTTACACCCCTATTTTCTGGAATCCCTTCCATTGTGAAAGTTTTCCCGGTCCCTGTTTGCCCATATGCAAAGATGCATACGTTGAAACCATCCATCACTGATCTAACAACGGGCACTGTTTCTGAAAACACGGCCTCTGCACAAAAAGGTTGGAGTACGACTACTTAAACATGTATACTAATAGCATACTTGACAAGTCAGCTAGGTCCAGTTTCAGTCAATTATACCTTGGTCATCCTCTGGGCCAAAAACATGGTCGAACTTAAAGGGCTTCCTTTCTTTTTCATTAGGGACAAACTGCAGCTCGGTCTCCTGTGCTGGGTCAATCTCAACCACAGATGAACACCCACGGGTGACCTCATCGGAGCTCAGAGGTCTGCATCTGCAGAACACCCTAATGTTACCTCTTAGCTCAATAAGCTCATTGTACAGACGCCGCCTCTCTGCACACTCGTCTGTGTACTTCTTCTTCAGACCATTATATCTGGGCTCACACTCCTCAGAGCACTTGACAACCTGCTTCTTGTATCTCTCCATGAGGTTGTTATACTTCTCCCCTATACACAAATAAAGACCAAACACCACAAATAATTATAGCCACAGGAATCAAAATACTTCAAATACTTGAGCAAAGCATGTGTATGATAGTTGTGTGTACCTAGGAAGCGGAGGGCAGCTGGGCGGTCAGGAGTACTGATCTCCTTCAGCCGCGGTGACAAGATAATAGAGTCCTCTCCATGATCCCCAAACTCCTGAAGAAAAGACACAATGTAATCAGAAGCGAACAACCCTATCATCTTTGCCCTTGAAACAAAGTTCAACCATCATTGCGAATAGAGAAAGAAGAAATCAACATTTTGCTGCTCGGTTTCATGTGCCTTTAAGATTTTTCTAATTCAATTTCTCTGGTTGGTCAGATATTTGTACATCTACGATAAGCACGAGCAGGAATCTAGAGAATTCCAAATCGCCACGGCCACGAATTGGCATCCAAAGGAGCTCTCACCTCCATGAAGCTGCGGAGAGCCTCCCCTGCTCCTGCCATCGCCTCCTTCTTTGCCTCCTCCTGCTCGACATCGCTGCCCACCGTGGCGTCCTCAACTGCGAACAATTTCCCCACCGTGAGAGGGACGCAGCAAACCCTACTGACCATCTGCTGCTTGCGTCTAGACGAAGAGACCGAACCTGTATCCTGCTGAGGCAACAGCGGTGGCGCGGGATTCAGGTCTCCCCCGGGATCCGCGCACTCCACCGCTCCCCGCTCATCGTCATCTGGCAAGCAAACACCAGGCCGTGTGAGGCGAAGACGCACGCCACACCAACCGGGTACACCCCAATAATAAAGGAACCCTACTCCTCGCCTGAGAACTAAGAAACAGTACCTCGCGTTTGCCGCGGCGGGGACACGGCCGGCGCTGGTGAGGACGGCGGGGACGTGGCCGGCGCTGGTGAGGGCGGCGGGGAGGAGGAGGACGCCCCCGCGGCGACCGGATCCGACTCCATCGCTGCGATCTGGTGGTCGGAGGGCGGCGGCGAGGAGGATGCCCCCGCGGCGGCCGGATCCGACTCCATCGCTGCGATATGGTGGTCGGAGGGCGGCGGCGGCGGCGAGGAAGACGCCCCCGCCGCGGCGACCGGATCCGGCTCCATCGCTGCGACCTGGTGGTCGGGGAAGAGGGTGAGGATTCGCTCGCCGGATCTCGTTGAGCTGGGGGATCGGGGAGGCTTGCGAGGATGAGACATGAGAGACGTGGGGTGGGGTTTGGGGAAGGAGCGCAGGATTCGAGTTTTGAACTGGACCGATCCGTTGGGGTTGGGGTTTGGCTGTATAGAGAGGAAATGACCGTTGGGGAGGCCGCGCCTTTGCGTTCGTCTGCGGTGGGGGCGACGTTGCGGGGGAGCCATAGCAGATCCAGCGACGCGAGATGCGTGGACTGGATTTTTTTTTTCTGTTTAATAATGTAACCAATTTGTCAGTCGGCCATATTGGATACGCTTAAATTTAGATTTTGAGCAGAATTAAGTAAGAATCCTGCTCAATCTGCTGGATAATTTTTGGATTCTCTGGACCGTCATAGTGAGAGGAATTTTGCTGTTTAATACAGTTTATTTTAAGGGACTGTTTGGTTGTGTCCCGAGAATAACGAGAAACGACATCAAACCAAATGGGAGAGAAATGTTTCACGTTCTTTACCTTGGCTCCCGGATTGGCTGGAGGATAGCTTCGCAGCGATTCTGCTCCTTGACTCCCGATTGGCTGCAGGGTAGCTTCGCAGCGATTCTGATCCTTTTTTTTTTTGCCTTCCGTACGTGCTATCAATTTTTTTTTTAGTTATAAAAATTCTTTTCTAATGTAACAATAAAATGGGTTGTATTTAAGTTGTTCTTCGTCTAAAAAATAGATTTTTTGGAACGTATTTCTATTTATACAATTTTTTTAAAGAATATTTTCCTATGAATCAGAATCCATCCAACTAGTCAAACGATTTCATAAAATAATTCTGTTTTGTCTCCCAAAACGTTTCTTGAGAAAATCCAAATTTTTACGACTTGGTACATAACTTTTATTATGCACCTAGATATATGCTATGTCTATATGCGTAGCAAAAGTTATGAATCTAAAACCCCAAAATAACGTATAATTTGGAATTGAGAGAGTAGCTATTAGTTGGTTTTTTTTTCTCCCTAGTAACACATCTATTGGCTGGTTTTTTCGGCTAACACATCTGATAGCTAATTATATGGATCCGAACATGATCTAAGAACTTGGGATAAGAAACTTGTAGTACTCCTATACATACTAATTTCCTTTTTACACGGAATAGCGATACATTGACTGGAGCTCCCAGTCGATCGTAGGAGTTTCTTATGCCAAGGAAAGACGGAGTAAAATTCTGGCAGAAAGAAATATTACGGGAATCCAGAATCCAGACCGTACAGTGTTGACTTGGTCCGGCTTCTCTGTCAGAAAATGAAATGAAAATTACCAGCGGTGCCACAAACAAAGCAGTTTGTCCACATAAACATATTCCATTTTGTAAACTACAATACATCTATGCGTCATGCCATTCCACCGGCCGGGCGCAACTGGCCAAGGAGAACTGGAAAACCAGCAAAAATCTACTGAACTGCCTTGGCTGAAACTGGCATCCCCTTTGTGCCTCACGATCAGATTACATCCAATCAACATAATCGGAGGATGATTTTGCTCCTCTTTTGGGCTTCCTGTACCTGTTATTCTCAAACTTCGCTTTCGAAAGGAGGGAATCCAGAACTGCCGCTTCAGCGAGATCGTAAGGCGCCATCAACACACTGGGCATAATATCCACATGGGTGAGGGATATATATATATAGAGAGAGAGAGAGAGAAAAGATCAGGATATCTGACGCTAAACCAGGAAGCAGTAATATGTGGATAATACAGTCCCTATTTTTCTTGCTACTACTGCCTCTGTTTCAAATGATAGTTCATTTTAGCTTTGTGCTAAATCAAACTTCTCTAATTTTGACTAAGTTTATAGAAAAAGACATCAACATCTCCAAGATCAAATTAGTTTTATTAAATTCTCCATGAAATGTCTTAATAGTGCATTTATTTGAAGGTGTACATATTAATATAGTTTTCTAAAAAATTGATCAAACTTAGAGAAGTTTGACTTACGACACTATAATAATATAATTTGGAACTTGGAGTAATATAATTGTATCATGTATAGCTCTTGTATTTTTTTACTTATTGCTTCTACCCAATCAGGATATAGGTCCTGAACTCCCTCAACCTCAGTTTCGATTATAAATCCTGTCTACTCATCCTGTTCAATTAACAAGTTCCTAAACTAATGGACAGCTCTAATATGAATTATTTTATGCCACCATGAGGAAGATATTAAATAAAGTGTAAAAAGTTAATAGGGTGTTTCGTTTGAGGAATGAAGTATCCATCATCTCCTCACTCCTTACTTTTTTGTTTGGTTTACGGAATGAAATGAGTTGATCCGCTACCACCTTATTCCTCACAATATGATGCACCACCTCATGTAGAATGAGGTGGTTCCTTACCATAAATCAGCTCTTTACCATCATGCTAACTGACAAAAAAGTAGCTCATGACAGAGGATATGTACCTAGCAAGAACATCCTCCAAAATAGTGCGTTGGCAAGGCGTCACATAGTATATGCACTTTCTTGGACACTGCCCAACAGCGAGCTGAACAAGGTCATCTTCTCCATTACCTGCAAATAAAAGGGTTGAACTTTTTCTTAGAAAAGGTAAAGGTGTGGTCATACTTATAAACTGCTTAATGGAACTACTATGTGGGCCAATTAAGCCAAGTGGTTGTGGTGGACCTACCATGAGATATTGCACGAGCTGTACCAATATCATCTGAAAATGAAAACACATGAGGTGCCCTTTTAACACAAGAATATGGGCATCCTGCAGTAGACATCAACAATTGTAATTTGTCAGATAAAGTTGACAAAATATGTCCACATGATTTGTATTGAACAACTACACGAAAGGCCTATGTCCCCAATGTATAGGCTATAAAGTCTGTAAAAACTAGGAAAGTGAACAAACTCGGTTGCATCAACAGAAGGAACACGTGTAATGTGTTATGCTTCTAAATAAGGACTACAGCATTGTTCAATAAAAATAGGTACATTGTGTGCCAGGAATTAAATTAGCACAACATGGTGATTAATCTCTTATAGTTAGGGAGAGTAGACAAATGATAAACTTATGTGAAACTTTAGTTTTCTGGTGCCAATTTTGACACTAATACCTAATTCGAAGTTGGCAGCAAACCTTATTCCTATAACAATACTATTGTCAACAACAAGGCCGATTCACAAAACCCCCATCCTTAACACTGAAGCAATACAAGCACAAGTACCAGTGCCAATGCATAGAAGTTCATTGACAAATATGTCACGGGCTTCACACTCAGGTTCATCAAATGGGTCAACATTATTCCTGCACAATATTGTAACATAAGCACATGAGTAGGATTTTCTTGAGGCTACTGAAACAAAGATCCCTATTGTCTTATTTTTCGATGCTTAAAAAAAGCATTCACAAATGCAGAAATTACAGTGTCATAATGAAATTGAAAAGTGGATAAAGAACATAAAATCCTCAGTAGGTTTGGATTTTGGAATATGAATTGAGAGATGAGTTGGTAACTAAGCCCACTGATTAATTCCAGATTTTCCCCTTAAAAATATAACTGCCAGTTTGTTGAGTGGATCAAACCAAAATATGTTTTCAGCACAAGCAACAAATGTACTTAACATGATGCGTACTAGGTTTTACCTCATCCTCTTCTTATAAAGGAAGTGTCAATGGCAACTTATATGGTGCAAATCATGATTACATCATGGACCTTTCACTGCATACTATCTGCAATACCTATGAATCAAGTAGTTCTTATTCCTTTTCTCATATATTCTCCTCAGGCAACCCCATTGCTAGTGCAGAATTAGCCTACTATCTGACCAACTGTGTTTTGAACCACAAATGTTTCAGAATTTGAGTGTACTGGTATAGTTATTATAAAATTTACCAGGAATAATTACAGCTCTTCAATTACTATGATCAAAACATATTCAAGATTGCCATGCTAACTGGCAATTACAACCTAATCTATCACTGAAAATCCATAAGAAAGGAGCAGAGGCCCATTATTATTATAGTTAGCTACAAAAACAAGTGTATATAAAAGGTTCATCGCATGATATGTCTAGAATACAAGCTGATGGATGTATTCTCTACCTTTCTCACCTTTCAACCATCATTTCTAGAAGTTGAAAAAATAAGATAACATCTCCAGTAAAAAGCGAAACAAAACAATGTGACTTGATATGTAACTAGAAGGTGATAATCTTGTTTGTGGCTTTATCTCAAAAGTTCCTTCACAATTCTGAAACACTACTGATTCCTCAGAGCTAAAATCAACCAACCATTTAGGTTACACTACATGGAGTCAGATTTCTAAACATAGCCACAGATATTTGGACCAGTGCAGGGGCTCGAGGCTCTCCTCTTGACCGCCCATTTGATTAGTTCCTCACATTTCTGCATCGAACTTTAGATTGTGCATAATCTTGTTTGTGGTTTTATCTCAAAAGTTCTTTTCTTCACAATTCTGAATCATTTTCGAAAAAAAAATCTGAATCATTTAAGGCCACATTTGCGCTGTGAATTGTAATTTTCTGATGACGTTTGATCATGGTTATTATGATAGCATCCATAAGCACTTGTACAAAACACAAGTATAGTACACAGAGTTACCTGATAGGCCTCGATCACTCGCCTCATTATCAAATTTGCGTTTTCTGGGTCCTTGCAAACATCAGGATGGAATTCCTTTACCTGTACAGAGCTCCCAATGTTATGTCGTGGCAGTATTGTTAGACCAGAAAATAGAAGACAGCTTTGGCTAAGCAAACGCTCACCTTACACTGCACAGCTTATAACACAACAAAATGTTACTTGTTCTTATGGAAATGTTTCTTCTAAACAAAAATATATATAATAAGGAGGGCATAATGCAAGTAAGTTGGAGAATCTGTGAGTTCCTTCTATACCGTGGCACTCGGTGCCTTCTTCCCCTAATCACAAAGTAACCAACACTCAAAAATGGTGGGTTCATTCCAAACACCACGATTAAAGGAGACCATGGAGGTACGCCAAGTTCTTTTGATACACTAGCAAGTAGCAATCGACTATTGTAATTTCTAGGATGCCTCAAGAGCTAAAATTGTGCAGCAGCAAATATCTCCCCATAAACAAATGAGCGTTACACTACCCGGGCGCGAAAGGCGGCCTTGAGTTGGGCGGCGGAGTAGAAGGCGGTGGTGGCGTCGAGGCCGAGGATCTGGAACGGCGTGGCGCGCGGATCCAGTATCTTTCCCGCCTCTCCTTCAAGGCCCCCACCGAGCGCCGAGACCCGCGGACGGCGGAGGGACGTGCTGCGCCGCGTAGACGGCGGCGGCGGCAGTGCCCTCGAGCCGCCGAACGGGGCCGCGTGGCCGCGCGAGGGAAAAGACGATGCGACGGCGGACATCATTGCATTGCTGTAGCTTCGGATAGGCTTCCGCAGTTTCGCCGCTCGCGTGGCTGTGTGCTTGTGTAGGCTGTGTGGCGATCGTCGACCGTCGCTGCCGTGCCGCTACTGCGTGGCCGCGCGCTTGTTGGCGTGGTGCGTGTGGTGTAGGACTGTAGGGTAACGTGAGGCCGGCTGGAGGTAGGATTCCAATCCGCACCCCCAGCATCCACGACCGGTCGACCCCCCCTTTCCCCGCCGCGCGACCGCCGGTCGCCGTCATGCCCCCCTCTCTCGCGCTGGCGCACTCCTCACTCCCGTTCCCTTCTGGCCGCGCGCTCCCCATCCAGCTGCCCCGCCGCCTCGCCCACAAACACCCGTCCCTTTGCGCTTACGGTCTCCTCCACGGCGGCACGCTCCAGCGGCCGCTCCGCACGCCTCGACGCCTCGCCGTCTTCGCCAGGGCTTCGGCGTCCGCTGTGGTCCCGCCGCACGGAGAGGGAGGTGGTGGCACGGCGGCGGGGCGGAAGGGCACGGGGTACCGGAACCGGTTCCTGGACCTGGCGCGGCTGGGTGCGGTGGCGGAGGGCGCGGCGGAGGCCTTCTTCCGCAGCGAGATCCGCCGGCGGCTGGTCTTCACTGCCGCGCTCATCGTGCTCAGCCGCGTGGGCTACTTCATCCCGCTCCCAGGGTTCGACCGCCGCCTCATCCCAGACTCTTACCTCAGCTTCTCCCCGCTTCCTGCAGGTCTATTCCACTCCTCCCTCGGATTACACGCTGGCGAGTTGTGCACGGGGTTTTGGTTTGGGGAAGCTAATAGCCTGTAGTTCTACCTTCGTTTGTGCAGTTGACCTAGGCGATTTCTCCTCAGAATTGAAGCTTTCGTTTTTCCAGCTGGGGATCAGCATCAAATTTCAGCATCTATTGTCATGCAGGTTTGGTAATTCTTATCCTTTGGTCCGTGATGTGCTTATATTTGCCAGTGACAAATTCTTGCATATTTTTTAGTTAATTCTTAATTTGTGCAATGAACAAAGGAAAGTTTGTGAGTTGCATTTTTTTTAGAAAAAAGGAAGTTTTATTCTGATCTGCACTCAACAAAAAATTATTGCAAATTCAGGCTCTGGCTTATAAAAGCAGGCTCTTAAAAAACTCATAATTAAGATGTAAAAAAGGACAGCAATATAAGCAGTAAGCCTATTTGAAGATCGCCACCATGTTTGGTGAAGATCTCCATTGCCGTTGTCTCCAGAATATGACTAGGCCACTGGTCGGTCATTTTTTTCCCTGAAAGATGGACTAGAAACGTATCCGGTGGGTAGCCCTAAAAACAACCTGTAAATAAGATGATAGTATCTTTTTGTCAAAAACCAAGTCATTCAGCAGAACCAAATAGACCAAATGATTGTGCTTGTTCCCACACAAACTTGAGAGCACAAGTTGTGATCTAATTGCTGAAGCCAAGGAACAAAAAATGAACAGGGTTTCTTGGTGGGCGTAAACCAAAAGCACCAAACAATGTGTGCTACGTGGCCATTGAAAAAAAAGATGTTGAATAGTTTCTTTTTTGTTGCAAAAGCAACAACTCTCATCAGCTCTTCAATTGCGCTTTACAAGGTTATCTTTAGTTAAAATTTAAAATTACGCCCTTCAGAAACAACCAAATGAAGATCTTAATTTTAACGGGTAACTTCAACGTCCATACTGCTTTATAGAGGCATTGCAAGTTGGTTCACTGAGTATTTGTACATTTATTGAACTGAGAAATATCCCTGGTTGTTGAGGTTCCACTTAATTGAGTCTTGTTAGCAATCAAGTTGCACAAATGCTATTCTTGAGACCAATTCATTCCACTAGGCTAGCTTGTCACTGTCGACGGAATATCATCGGCAGTCCTCCGAGGGGTATCCCACGAAGGTAGATTGATCGGCAGAGATGCGTGTAATCAAGAACAAGAAGGCAATAGAGACACAACTCGTCCAATGGTTAGTTGTCTCATAGTTCTAAATTTTTTTGCTCATGAAACAAGTTGATGACGTAATACCCTACTCATCACAAAATAGTGGTACATGCGTTGGATTGTATTGGCTATCGTATGATGATATTGCGTGAGTTTGGGGGGTCCCCCAACACACCGCCTTATATAGTCTGGGGGCGGGGTTACAAGTCGGTTAGATTCGGGAGATAACCGGAAAGTAATAACATGATTACAGGAATCATGGGATCATACATTTCCTAATAGATGTCGTAGTATCTTTAAGAATATCTTCCGGTGTCTTGCGGGAGGCGTCACTTTAGGCCCCAAATGTTGCTATATGTTTCAACTCTTGCCTTGTTGGAGTCAAGTTACTAGCAAAGTAAAGATCATATGGTCTGTCATGTGGGTATCCGGGTCAATATATCCCCTTTCACCAACTAGTGCTCTGCGGAAAGTAAAATTAAGTGGTCTAGAACTAAAAACCTAAGCAACTGTAATACGTTTTTTCCTAGCAATATTGTATATAGATGGGTATTGTTCATTGAGAGCCAAGTTTTCAAACAATTTGTCCTCCCAGAACCTAACAAGGGCCCCATTATGTAGTTTAAAAGAATATAAGTCTAGGTAACGATCTTTGAATTTCATAAGGCCTTACCAAAAGTGTGAATCTCCTGGTTTCCAATGTGTTTCCCCTATAGTTTTGTTTTTCAAATATTTCTTTCTAAGAAGTTATTGCCAAACCCCATCTTCATTGATTAATATAAAGAGTACTTGCTTAGCAAGCAAGCATTTTGAGTCACAAGGTCTATGATTCCTAAGCCACCTTGTTCCTTTGGTTGGCATAAAACTCCCCATTTTGTCAGTCTATAACTCTTTTTTTTTTCTTATGGTTGTCCCCTTGCCAAAAGAAATTAGATCTATAAAACCTAACTTTTTCAGAATCCGTTTTGGTACTCCAAAGAAGGACATCATATACATTGTTTGTGAGTTGCATGACATCAACTCGTCCAATGGTGAAAGTGTTGTCTCATAGTTCTAAATTTTTGCTCATGAAACAGTTGCTTCACGAAAGAAAGATCTCTTTCTCGCACCTCCCTCTCTCCTCATCACAAAATAGTTCTATGTGGCACTGCATGAGACGACCTCGGAGACTGCTAACGTACCAATGTACTTGCCCTATTCTTACTACTATATCCAATCCCTTAAACATGCATGTTTCCCTTAGCATAGCCCAGAAGCCTAGAATTTTGGTAGAGAAGTCCCCCCCCCCCCAACACACACAACATTCAGAGTTGGTAAATTGCTATTTCAGGCTTGGAAATTGTTCGCATGTAAATCCTTAAAAAAATTGTACCATGCATCCTTTAACATTTATCTATTTAGGTATATGAGCTCAAGTTTCAAGAACTTAACACTTTAGGCCCCAAATGTTGCTATATGTTTCACACTTTTGCCTTGCCTAATAAGCACAAGTTACATTGCGCAGAATAAAGATCAGATTGGATCTACTCATGTAAGTTTACCAATCAATATATTCCCTTTCATGGACCTAGTTGGAACGCCACAAGTTTAAGCCTCTTTTTATGGCACTTGATTTTTCATAAAAAATGCATCTTGTTATTTTTATGCTGTTGTTACAATAACTGGTCTCTTTTTAAAGGCGTGACCAAAGGAAGCCTTGCCGCTTTTTTTGAGAGCTCCCGCCTGTGTGGAAGGTCCTGCAGGGAAGGGTGTCAGTGACAAGCCTTACCCTAGCCTGTGCAATGCGAGGAGACCGCGACTCGAACCCGGGACCTTCTGGTTACAAGCGGTAAGACTCTACCGCTTGCACCAGGCTGGTCTCTTTTTATTGAAAAAAAAACATAACAAAAGGTATCTGTTTTAGGTTCTCTGTCATGTTCTTCCATCACTTAAGCTCTGCAGGGAAGGATTAGACGGACATGAGAAGTTAAAAGGCTATATGTGTGTTTAGTTGTCTATCTTGAACAGTGAGACCGGGTTTTTTTGCCTGGAAATTATTTGGACTTTTACATACCATTTCATCTAGTTTGAATCCTTTCTTTTGTGTGTAGATGGTGGCTTTCTTTGTGTTTTGCAACTGTGGCTGCTTTTACTGTGTCATGCTATTCCCTGCAGTATTCAGTATATGCTGCAAGTTACAGGTAAACTACCTTTTGGTGCAAATTATTTTCTTCAAAGTACTCCTTCCCCACAAGCATGCTGGCACGCGCCACCATCAGCTCATTGTTTTGTTCCTTTGTTTTTCATGCTGATGCATTATCAGCTGTAAGGGCAATAAGTAATTCGAGGACCAAAGTTTTTATTAATCCTAATTTGTTTGAATAGTAGGAGATATGAATACTCATTTAGTATGTTTACAGCTCAATTTTTTTTTACTCTTTTGTTACAGGGTTAAGCATATAATTATAACAAGTCTTTTGCTTGTTCTTGGTGCAATGTCAATGACATGGATTTGTGACACCATAACAGAATCTGGATTTGGTAATACTTTACCTCATGCATATTTGTAATTTATTATAACCTGTCCATGTTCTGAATGTCCTGTGTGTTGTATGAACTAATACACACGTTATGTCATATATTGATGCTGGGCATTGATGCTGGGCATAATTAATTGTTTAGAAGAACCTTGATATGCTATATTTGTCTCGATACCAAATAAACTGAAATTATAAGAAATATCTTGTGTGTGTGTGTGTGTGCGCGCGTGCGTGGGGAGGGCAATTTTGTTTGCAGATCTATATTGTGGAAGAGCTCATGGATGTTTTAATGTATTGGGAGCTTCTCATTCCTGAAAGGCTAAAGTAAATAAATAATTAACTGCCTGTTCTTTTTGGTGTCTGGTCTTTCTGTTCCAACTACTTCATCTGCTGGTACTGGGCTCTTAAAAAAAAACAAGGCGTCATTGGCTTGATTGACGAGTTCAACATGAAAACATATGATAATGTTATTATCAATGTGTCTATCTTGGTTAGCATTTTTTTTTTTGAAAACACAGGAGAGCTGCGTTTCATTGTATTAAAGAGAAGGGGTGGTCCTCAACAGGTTCCTCACTCATACGGGGACCAAATATGTGTGAGGCAATTACACAGACTCAAAGCTCTTGCGCATAGCAACACACACAACTCAACCTAGCTCAACTGCCCTAGATTTCAATAGAAAGCCCTAGCCCCTACAGTTTCTTCACACCAGCCATGCACCATAAGCCGTGCTCATCCAAGTTCACACAAAATCGTGTTAACCGAAGGAGAAGCCCCCTAAAACACACAAGCATTTCTATGTTTCCAAATAATCCAGGCGCCAAGAATAATTAGAGTGTCCACTCCTTTTCTGTGCTCCTTTTTAACTCTTCTCATCGTCTTGCGCCACCAATCTACAAAGCTTGTGTGTTCAATTGTTCATTGTTTCTTCTATATTTTTATTTGCAGGACATGGTTCATCTTTGATTATTTGTGTTGGAATTTTGACTGGTTACACAGATACACTACACAAGTTGATAACTCAGTTTTCAGGTTAGCTCTCTGAACTTGAGCTTGTCAACTTTCTGTAATGCCTTTTTAATATGACTTCGTTTGGTGTTCATTTGTCTTGCCTTGTTTCTTTTTGTAAGTGTTCTGGAACATGTTTTCAGGGAATTATCCTGAAACCACTCTGACATACCTTCAGCTTTGGCCTGTACCCTCTTTATGTGCACGTTGGGAGTTTTAGTTTCTGTCATTTTCTTTGAAACAGAGAATTTTTCCTATTGTTGGCCTTACATCTTGGGAGTAGCTGGAATTTTTATGATTCTCACCATGGGGGCTGTGCTGGTGACTGAAGGATGCAGGAAGATAAAACTTCAGTACTACGGATTTAAATAAGCTTCTGGTGCAGGATAGAATTCTTTTTTTTCTTTTGTGATTTATTTTTATATATGCTATCCGTACGAATAGTTTTACACTTTACTGTTTCGCCTTTCTTTGAATTTGCAAATGACCTTTAGGTAACAGTAGAACACATTAGTATTTCACTAGTTATATATAATTTAATGTTAAACTGTTTCTTATTCTTTGTACTGCATTTTTTTCAGATAAAATTAAATACTTGAGCCATTTCACCCTTCTTTTGTAGGAATGAAAGCACCCCAGTTACAGAGGTTGAGCCATATATCCCCTTCAACATCAATCCGACTGGAATGCAGCCCTTGCTTACAACCTCATACTTGCTAGCTTTTCCAAGCATCATGGCCAGGTAAACCATAGTGTATTTCATTTCTGTCTTTTCACTTCCCCTAACATTGTAATGTGGAATATCTGCAGTATTTTTGCCTCGCCCTTCTAGGAAAACTTGAGGGAAATTTTGAATCCAAAGACTTCAACTGGTGGTAGTCCCTGTTAGATAATCTACTGCCACCTTGTGTGAACACAGCAAGGGGAAGGCGGCGCCGAAAAGGCCCCCTGCTGTGATACTGTAGCCGCTGCAGGTGCAGGCGCCGAACTGCTCACCTGCAGCACTGTAGGCACATGCAGTGGCCGGCGTAGAGTCAGCCATGTATGTTATCTAGTCACTGTTGCAGCAGGGCAGCTGTACTGGGACTAGATGGATAGAGTTGTATAAATAGACTACCAAGGCAACTCAGTAAAGAGAGTTCAGATTTGCCATCTCCCAGACAGGGCTTCGGCCAACGCTGATGTCTTGTACTGTGTATGTATGCTCTGTTCTCCTTTCTTCTTCTAGCTCTGGCCATAGTGTGTGAGGACGGACAACGCTTGTTCGTGGTCGGCACGGCTAGTGGATACTCGGCAAGACTGGTGAGTGGTTCACTCACCTGAGCCGGTGATCCTGTGGGTCAACAAGTGGTATCAGAGCCGTACAAGCGCCATCGCCAGACTAACCGCTGGCGATGACGGGCGGTTCGGAGATGGGCGACAGCAGTGGCACTGTTGTGGCTGCCCAGCCACGACCGGAGGTCGTCGTTCGCACGGTGCGGGAGGTCAGCGGCACCAGTTGGCCGACGCTGACTCGCACCAACTATGGAGAGTGGTCGGTGACCATGAAGGTCAAGCTCAGAGCCCGACAGCTTTGGAATGCTGTTGACAAGGGCACCGACAATGAGGAGGATGACATGTCAGCGTTGAAGGCTATCATCGCTGTTGTACCGGCGAAGTACAAGGAGCCGTTGGGTTCGAAGAGATCGGCTAAGGAGGCGTGGGAGGCTATTGCGGCGATGCGCGTCGGTTCCGACCGCACAAAGAAGGCAACGGCCCAGCTTCTGAAGCAGGAGTACGCCAACCTCAAGTTCAAGGATGGTGAAACAGTGGAGGACTTCTCCCTCCGCCTGCAAACGCTCATCAGCAAGCTGAAGAGCCATGGCGTCACCATCGACGAAGAGGAGGCGGTCTCCAAGTACCTCTACTCCGTGCCGGCAAAGTACATCCAGATCGCTCTCTCCATAGAAACGATGCTAGACTTGTCCACCCTCACCATTGAGGATGTGACAAGCCGTCTGCGGGCGGTGGACAAGCGCCTGGAGCAGGCGACAGCAACGAACGACGGCGGGAAACTCCTATTGACGGAAGAGGAGTGGGCTGCTCGGAGGAACTCCGGGAAGGCAGCCTCCTCCAGCCGCGGTGGCGATGGCAAGCGCCACGGCTCGACCCCAACGCCTGCCGGCGTTGCGGGAAGATGGGCCATTAGGCACAGGAGTGCCCAAATCGCAAGTAGGAGAAGAAGGCTCAGGCTCATCTGGTGCAAGCCGATGATGAGGATGAGGCCACTATCTTGATGGCGACGTTCTGTGCACTGCACGACTTCGAGGCCGAGGAGAAGGACTGTGACTGGTGCCAGCAACCACATCTTCAGGTGTTATCCAGGAATCCTTCACCGAGCTCGACGACGATGTTACCGTACCTTTGGTGACGGCTCAAGGGTGGCTATCCAAGGGCGCGGCACCATTATCTTCAGGTGCCAGAATGGGGAGCACCGCGCGCTAACGGATGTATATTACATCTCGCAGCTGCGTTCCAGCATCATCAGCATTTGTCAGCTGGATGAGCTGGTAGCGAGTAATCGATCAAGGACGGAGTCCTTAGGATCGAGGTGGACCGGAGCGGCGACTTCTTGCTAAGGTGAAGAGGTCCTCGAACGGTTGTACCTTTCGACCGAAGGTAGAAGCGTAGGCGGTGTGCTGGCGGCAAGGCACTCCGAGGAATCGTGGATGTGGCGTGTCGGTTCGGACATCTCGGCCGACGCGCTTGGTCGGCTGGAGAAGATGGTCCGAGGGCTACCCCACATCAAGCACGGAGGCGAACTGTGTGACAAACTGCCTGGCCGGGAAGCAGAGGAGGCTACCATTCCCAAAAGCGCCAAGTATCGCGCGAAGGACGCTCTCGAGCTCGCCCACGGCGACCTCGCCGGGCCGATCACGCTGCTACAAACGGTGGTCGACAGTACTTCCTCCTACCGTGGACGATTGCGCGCTACATGTGGTACGCAACTCTCGACGAAACAAGGACTAAGCGGCGGCGGCGATCAAGAAGTTCAAGACAGCTACGAGGCCGAGAAGGCAAGAAGCTCGCGTCTTCGAGGATCGATCGCGGCGGCCGAATTCACGCCGGTGGAGTTCGGCCGCGCATCGCGCGCGGATCGAGGTGTGGGGCAACACCACACCGCTACCGTACTCGCCACAACAGTAATGGCGTGGTGGAGCGGCGGAACCAGACGGTGGTCGGCATGGCCCGATCCATGATGAAGGCCAAAGGCATGCTTAAGCAAGGTTTTGGGGTGAGGCGGTGACCACGGCGGTGTTCATCCTCAACCGATCTCCGACCAAAGGCTCGGACGGAAAGAGCGCCGTTGAAGCTTGGTATGGGCGCAAGCCGAAGCGTGTCCATCCTCCGGACATTAATTACGATCGGCCACGTCGGGAAGACGGGCCGAACCTCACCAAAGTGGAGGATGTGAGCACACCCATGGTGTTCCTGGGCTACGCGGAGGGTACCAAGGTGTACCGGCTCTACGACCTTGTCTCGCGCGACGTCGTGTTCGACAAGAAGGCGGCTTGGGACTAGAGCAGTCCGAGCACGGGGGAAGCTGGCGGCTTCACGAACACCTTCGTCATCGAGCACTTTGTCATCCATGGTGGTGGAGAGACTTTTGGGAAGAGGTGCCGAGCACTCCGTGGCCATAGAGCCGAAAGCACACGGGCAGGCGATCTTTGAGCACGCCGGGAGGGATGCCGAGCACTCCGGGAGGAGTGTCGAGCACTCCTGGAGGGATGCCGAGCACGCCAGGAGTGGTGCCGGGAGGTTCTGCAGCGGTGGCGACCACTTCAAGACGGGTGTCGAGCACTCCCGTAGCGAAGCCAAGATGTCCTACAGTGGTGTCAACCACTCCAAGATCGATCTTTGGGCACTCCTACGGTGTGGCCGAACACTGCGCAGGAGTTATGACGAGTCGTCCGAGTAAGTCTGCAGCGAGCACTCAAGGTGCTATGCCGAGCACTCCGGCGGAACAGGGAACTCCTTCGACGCCGATTGAGTTCGCCTCACCTCCAAGTGACATCACTGAGTTCGTGGACGACTAGCACGAAGGTGAGGAGGTGCGGTTCCACAGGCTGGACGACATCGTCGCGCGCACATAGGTCCCTCAAAGCTTGGCGGGTAGGCGCTTTCAATGACGCAGAGCGCGCTACTCGTCGGTCTGCAGAGAGAACCACCCACGTTCGCTATTGGCGAAGCGCGATGGAAGCTGGCGACGAAGCGTCTTTGGAGGAGATGAAGGCGATCGAGGAAAGCGAGACTTAGCAGCTCGTCGATCCACCTCGTGATGCCGTCCGATCACTGAAGTGGGTGTACAAGGTCAAGCGGGACGAGCTTCGGCGCCATTGTCGAGCACAAAGGCGCGCCTCGTCGCCGAGGCTTTGTTCAACGCGAGGGCATAGACTTCGAGGAGGTTTTTTGCGCCAAAGATGGCGCGCGATGGAGTCGGTCCGTTTGCTACTAGCTTTGGCGTGACAAAGGATGGCGATCCATCACTTGACGTTAAATCGGCCTTCCTCAACGGCGCGGTGGCGAAGACGGTCTTCGTCGAGCAACCTCCGTGTTTCGCCGCCGTCAAGGAGAGAAGCACATGGTGCTCGATCATTGCGCAAGGCGCTTCACGGCCGCGTCGGGCCCCACGAGCATGGAATGCAAGCTTGACGCCATATTTGGGCGAGCTTGGGTTTCAACGGCGCGCAATCGAAGCACGCACTCTACACGCGCGGCGACGGGAAGGAGGAGCTCGTCGTCAACGTGTATGTGGATGACTTGATCGCCATCGCGGCGCGCGCACGGAGGACATCAGCGACTTTAAGCGAGATGGCGGCTCATTTTCGAATGAGCGATCTCGGCAAGACTCTCCTACCTCGGCGTCGAGGTGAGAGACAGGGAAGGAGGAACTCACGCCGGTTAGAGCGCGTATGCCTCTCAAGTCGTTGGAGAGGAGCGGCATGGTCGAGTGCAAGCCATGCGTGACTCCGGTGGAGGCGGCGGAAGGCGACGAAGGCCGCATCTGCATGGCGAAGGTGGATGCAACACTCTCATCGGAGTATCGTCGTCGTGATGCTGCGCTACCTAGTCCACACGAGGCCGGACATTGCTTTCGGCCAGTGGGCTATGTCGATTCGCTTCATGGAGGATCCCGAGAGAGGATCATCGGGCTGCAGTGAAGCGGCTACTACGCTTACGTCAAGGAGACGGTAGATCAAGGATCATCTTTCCCAAGACCGGGGGAATAGGTCGCAGACTCATTGTGTTGTTGATGTAGACATGGCGGGGGACATCGACGGGCGACGGAGCACCTTTGGCGTGCTCATCTTCCTCGGTCGGCCCCAATTTCATGTATCGGCCAAACGTAAAGCGGTGGCGCTATCTACATGCGCGAGGCGAGTACGTGAAGCGGCGCCACAAAGCAGCGTGCCAAGTTGTGTGGCTGCGTCGGTCGGCCGGGTGAGGTGACCGGCGTGGAAGCTCACCCACCAAAGACCGATGGTGGACAACCGACCGCCATCGCCTCACGAAGAATCCGGTTCGCACGACCGAGTAAACACATTGATGTGAAGTTCCACTTCCTCGAGGCGTGGTCGATGGCGGCGATCGTCATCGAAGTTCGTCGGCCCGGTCGGCAACTCGCGGACGTCCTCACCTAAGCCGCTTCGGACGTCTTCGACTCACGAGTCAAGGAGACGATCGGCATGGAGGGGGTACAAGGGTTAGCGATATGATTAGGGAAGATTGTTAGATAATTCATCGCTACCTTGTGTGAACCTGAAGGGGAAGGCGGCGCCGAAAAGGCCTCTCTAACGGATATCAGAGTCATTGCAGTGCTTGGTCTGGCCGAATCGCTTCACCTGCTGACATTGTAGGCACATCACGATGTGGCGCAGAGTCAGTCATTCATATGTTATCTCACATCCTTTATTATGTTGAGGCATTTATCTTGGGACTAGATGGATAGAGTTGTATAAATAGACTACCAAGGCTACTCAGTAAAGAGAGTTCAGATTTGCCATCTCCTAGACAGGGCTTCAGCCAACGCTAGTGTCTTGTACTGTGTGTGTATGCTCTGTTCTCCCTTCTTCTTTTAGCTCTGGCCATAGTGTGTGAGGACGAACAACGCTTGTTCGTGGTCGGTACGGCTAGTGGGTGCTCGGTAAGACTGGTGAGTGGTTCACTCACCTGAGCCAGTGATCCTGTGGGTCAACAATCCGTGGGTTTATTACTCAACATATGCTTTTCTCGTCTTCGTCTTCAAATTTTTTGATATTGTAAGTTTGTGTCTTATCTTAATAACCATAAAGGGTGTACCCAGTGCAGCGGGGTCTGGGGAAGGGTGTCAGTGGCAAGCCTTACCCTCGCCTGTGCAATGCAAGGAGACCGCGACTCGAACCCGGGACCTTCCAATCACAGACGGTAAGACTCTACCGCTTGCACCAGACCCGCCCTTCCTCTCATCTTAATAACCATGTATACTTAAAAACTTCTAATGTCTGCAAAATTACTTCTTGCTTCTAATATCTTCCACTTCACCAGTGGTTTACAAATTTTACATCTTATCTATCTACCTGCTTTTGCTAATCTCGCATTTCAGTAGCATGTGACAGCAAATTCTTATTTTTCTGTTGCTTGGGATTTGAATATTCCCTTAGTTCCATTGATGTTCTACTTTCTGTATGTATTATTGTATTTAATGGCTACATCCTTCGAGATATATTTTCCCTAGTTCTCCATAAGCAATATCAGCATGCTCAAGGAAATACCACCGGTTCACAAAGATTTAGCTTACATGTTTAATTTTAAGATACTTTCTTTCTCAGATAAAAAAACTGTAAATTATATTAACTTGTGATTAAGGTTTTTTAATCACTTATGGTTGCCTGTTATCTGTATGACTAGTGTAATTGTGGAACCAAGTATAACTGGCATATATGGAACACTGCAGGACAATGCACATGGCATAAATTATAATGATCTCAGTCCTATAGTGTCATAGAACTCAAGTTCTTAATATTTTCAGCAACTGAGTCAGTTTATTGGGATGCATGCTTATTTGCACATATTTTATCTGCGAAACTTTGGTTCCAGGCTAACTTACCCAAAGAGATATCTGATTACCTGAATAAGATGAGTGCGAGGGTACCAAGGATAAAGCCTGGAAGAGCAACAGTAGACTACCTTACAAAGATACAAACATCAACGCGTTTCTGGGGTAGGTGTCCTTGAAGAAAGTTTACCGCATTGTCAAATTTTGTTATGATTTATCCTTCTTCTGCACTTTGTGCCTTTTTTTCTAAGCAAAAAAAAAAAAATCTCTTACATCCAGGAGGTCTACTGCTAAGCTTGCTTGCAACTTCCTCTTTATTGCTTGACCGATATCTTAGGCAAATAAATGAAGGGTTTTCAATAGAGTTCACATCAGTCTTGATTATTTTGAGTACGTCTCAGGCACACTCTTAATGTAACTTGTTACCGTGAAAATTAGTTGTTGAACTGCAGCTATTATGCCATCTTCATCAGCCTTTTTGTCTATGGGAACTGATTCCAAAATTCTGAATGATCCATACGTGACCATGTGGCTTCAATTCTAATGCCTTTATAGAAGAACTAGGTCGGGAGGCGCGCTTCGCCGCGCCCGTAGGACTGCAGTTGTGATCACAATATATTTGGACTGAACTGAAAGTATTGAACTTAGGTCGGGCAGTATTGTGTATAGCAATTGATCATAGGAAAGGAAATACAGCGTGTGCTTTGTTAATAACAAATTGGATGCTTTAGTGTCATGTATGTATTTTTTTCAAAAACAAAGATGTCTGATAGATACATAAAAAAATAGAAACCATATTCTACTTCTACTTTACAGTATGCAACTATGCTTTGGAGTCCATGTGCATGCCGGCCACCTCCATGCACCCTGCAAACACCATAGGAGCAACGATTATTTTTTCCTACACAGATGAAAAGATGATTCCAGTATCCCTAAATTAGCAAGAGTAGTATGAATGAAAAATTCATATCACAAAAATTGTTTATCGCAAAGGATGAATGATTGCTGCCATGGTAACAAAACATTTTGTTCTGATCTGAAGCATGCACCACATGTAGACTTCAAACTTTAGGAAATGATATCAAACTACATTTGAGTATAAACAAAAGGAATTCATGAGACTAAGCAAGGACTCAGGTGGATCCCAGAGTTTTGAGATTATCTCATTGAAGGTCTTCGGCCATGGAAGGAAAAATGTAATTCAGAACAGAAAAATGAGTCAACCAAGAGGAAAGCAAAAACAAACATGGCATCAACACAGGCCCACCAACAATTATCAAAGCAGTATAAGATCTATGAGAAAACCAATCAATAAAGGTACATACATAAAATAGGAACTACAAATATGCCAGTATGTACCATAGAAGGCAAAATGGTACCAATTAACATGACAAAGATATGAACACTATAATAAGAAAATAATAGCCAATAGATATTGGAATGGTTCCATTGCTCGATCTCAAAAAAAAAAAAAAAAAAAAAAAAAAAAAAACATACCTAACCATAGTTGATGAACCCATGTCCCTCGTGGTCCCAGCTGATAGGTATCAGGGAGTATCTGTGCAAAGGTATCTCTGAACTGGTGTTCTAGACTCCTAGTCACCAGAGTAGCTTTAGAGGCATCCGTAGTTTATCCCAAAGTATGACTCTAGCTTGCCGAATCGCTGAAAAAGAATGAACGATTTACTATCTCAAGACCAGATTGCAGCGCAAAGCTCATACTTTGTTATGTGAATCAATCATTAACACGTTTGTTTTAACACACACATTTCACTGCTGTCAAGGGATAGGGTGCTGGTGGGGAGTTCTTTGAGAAAATACACGCTGCACAGCAGCTCAGTGAAGATGAGGATTGTTTGGACCCTAGCCATTGTCCTAGTGTCAGGTTATTTGGTTGCCCAAAGGCCTAAACCATGTCTGACTAATAATATGAACATATTTTTTATGTCGTAAATGGCAGTAGTCTAGGTACTTCTTTAAGCAGCTGATATCAAGGTTCAGCTACTGCCAATCGATAGTATGCTTTTGCTTGAAAAAAGTATAGGCTGAACCTATAATAATCATATACCATCGAATGGTAGAATTTAGATACTGCCATATAAAGTGCTAGCATGTTAGCCAAAAACACAACCAAAAGAAACAGTATCTAAATAGTATGTAAACCCCATATCTTATAATCAAGATGATGCAGCATTATATTTTGAAAGAACTTGTTGCAGATACCAATGGAGACAAAGCAGTTTCAGTCTCAACCTAGTAAGCTAGCTCAGCCTCAGGTTCAATTACTCAAGCTCAATAAGAGAAATAACATCAACTGACATACATGAAGCATCTATGTTGGTAGATGGTAGTGTGATAGAAGATCGATTTGTGCTATCAAGTAATAGGCGTTTAGTAAACATATGCAATTGACCTCTGAGATGCCAATAGATCAATAGAATAGATGTGAAGTATTAACATTATAGGTTCAAGGATGATTGGTGCAGCTGCAGGCTAAACATGACCATCTCCTGTGTGTTGTGTTGAAAATCTCCTTGTTCAGCTATAGGCGTTTAGTAAATATATGCAATTGACCTCTGAGATGCCAATAGATCAATAGAATAGATGTGAAGCATTAACATTACAGGTTTAAGGATGATTGATGCAGCTGCAGGCTAAACATGACCATCTCCTGTGTGTTGCGTTGAAGATCTCCTTGTTCAGCTATCAGTAAAGGTGGATGTTGCATCTGGCGGGCTGGGCTGGTAAACATAAAATTACATAAGCAATATCCGTGGGGCTAGGCAGGTAGGAATAAAACTACATATGTAACAACAGGCACAAGAATTGTGATATGTAGCAAAAGATGATTAATCTTGTTTAGCAGATTCATGGGACAACTGCAGTGTAGCAGATTTATGGGACAACTGCAGTACCTTCGACATGATGTGTAATGTGGACCCTTTCCGATGATCCAGAGAGCACCATCGACACAGATGAGAGTTTGACTGGAGCAGGTAAATTTCTGTTCCTTTTAGACCAAAGAGAGCCAGTTTGACAACTTGAGGCTCCACTGGCAGTGTTGGCATCAGATTAGCGGCAAGAACAAAGTTTGATACCTGCAGATTGTATTGGTTTAATTAGAAAAAAAGCACAACCCTGCTGTTGTGCTCCAGGTTCTATGACTAATGTCACTAGCTGATGTATCTGTTTTGGCTAAATAAAACAATAAAGAATGTGCTTGAATCTTTTTTTTTCTTAATTTTGGCAATGAATGTATATGTAGCTGCATCAGTTTTGCCTATCATCAGTTGTAATTGAGGTATGGAAGAATATTGCGAAAATTGCCAATCATAAGGACTACCATACCATGGTATTTTAATAGCCAATGTGGCATATCCAGGAAGAAGAGTTGTTGCCATCCTAATTTGTGCTGAAACAAAGAAAAAGAAACATCACTCCAGCCTTGGACCATACCAGATGGCAAGCACCAAGAAGCTAATTAATTTGAGGGGGGGAAAAGAAAGAATGGAAGGAGAGCACATGGCATCGTTGAAGCACTACACAACTACCATGAAATTGGAACTCCCTTCTGTGGAGCAGCAACAGATACGATGAATCAAATATTGCCATGTGTTTGGAAGTTTTGGTGAATAAAAAAAGCATGTAAGAAACTGAATGAAAAAACCAATCACGAAATAAATTAGGAGGGGATGGATGAGCCTGAGAGAGAGGTCAAGAGGATTATCTTACCAAGCCTGATGCAGCCTTGGCCACGCTCTACGATCCAAATAGTCCCTGGAGGAGAGGGAGGAAGGCAACGATGCATTACTGCGAGGTGGGCAAGCAGGCACCAAGTCCATCTGTATGGAGAGGCTAGGATCGACGGAGCCACCGAGGAAAAAGGAGGGCAGCGAGCTCGCCGCTAACTCCATCGACTCTGTCGGAGGAGTAAGGCAAAGAGTTAGGGAGGGATACCGTGGGCTGAACTGGAGGAGGCGAGGGTACCTTAATCGCATCTACTTTTTGTGCGCCGCCGTGACCGCATCTCGCGCCGCTGGTGCCACATCTCGCGCGGCCATCGCCACCACTGTCCTTGTCTTGCTGGCAGTGACGACTGATTGGAAGGAGGAGGCACCGTGCGCGTCGCCGCTGGGCGAGAGGAAGATGCGACGAAGCGCCCCGCCCGCGTAGCTGCCGCGCGCTTGCTGGCACCAGGGGAGAGGAAGAGGATGAAGTCATTGCGACCGCGGCGAGGCGGTCAGGCGCAGCATCCACGCGCGCCGCGACTGCAGAGGAGGACGAAGAGGAGGCGGAGGCAGCGAGGCTCCTAGGCAGTTTTTTCTGGGGCATCGATGTGTAGCGGCCGGGCGCGGCATCCGCGAGCGCTGCGGCCGGGGTGAGAGGGAGAGGAGGTGGAGACGAAGCGGTGGCGGCGGGTGGCAGGCGGCATCAGCGCGCGCGGCGGACGGGAGCCTGCATCCGGGCTCGCGGCGGCCGGAGGAGACGAAGAAGATGGAATGGGAGCTAGGCGGAGGCGGCGAGGCGTTGTTTTTTTTTCTTGAGATTCATAGACGCAGGCTGGGACACGGACGAACCACGGGGCGGCGCCTCGAACCGTAGCTGAATGAAGACACGCACTACGACACGTGGCTGCATAGGTTTCGTGGACAGTAACCGAAGCGTTCTCAGCGCGCGGAACCCAGGCTGGGACACGGACGAACCACGGGGCGGCGCCTCGAACCGTAGCTGAACGAAGACACGCACTACGACACGTGGCCGCACAGGATTCGTGAACAGTATGTAAACAGTAACCGGAGCGTTCTCAGCGCGCGGAACCTAGGCGCTATATGGAGTTACATATTTGAAATCCATGGTTTTCCATATTTTTGTTTCATAATGTGAAGTTGCATTAGCACTAAAAAAACTGGAATCTATTCACTTAGACATTTAAGACTAAGTTTGGATTTGATAATTATCCACAAGTTCTACATGTATTTAGTATAGTAATGAATTATATGAAAAATAATGATTTCAGGTGGGCTCAATTATTGAGCTTAGAAGATCATATCAAGCGTACAATGTGATGCCAGCACTGAGCAAAGTTTTGAGGAGATATGGTGCTTAAGAGTATGTAAGCACCTAAGCGGCTACGTTGGTGATGATGGCACCATCCACTAGGTACTTTAACTTTCCTGCCAAGGTTTATCAATATTTGAGATAAACATAGTTTCCACTTTGGTCTTTTATAAAGAGCATGAATTGGAAATTTTTAGAGTCTGTCTACCCAACAACTATGTGTTTTACGTAGTTTCAACACATGAATTTTTTTACATTATAGAATTAAAATCCAACAGTCTCTAAACAATCACAAATCACAAGATCACAGATGCACAAATCACAAGAAATAATTTTTTTCTATGCAAGGATAAAAGAACAAATCGGAAACACGCTCTTCTCTATCGGTGGATAGCAGGCACCGGCCGGTCGAAACGTATACCAACACATGTGTGTTCCAACACATGCGTCCGTCCAGCACATGTGGCCGGTCGAAACGTATACCGACACATGCGCCTGTCCAGCGACCCGTGATCGCTGCTCAGGACGGACCGGGAAGCCAAACGACACTGCATACTATGGTGAAGGCACGCCGCCGCACTACAGCCTACAGGATAAAAAATCCATATGTTTTTATTTAATAAAACATATGTGTGTTGTATAGCATTTCTGAATTTTTATGGGGTTACAGCTCGTGGTGTTGCAAGCTCGATTGGCCCCGACACTTGGCAGTTGGCGGTATAGCATGCTATGATGAGAAGCTTACCACACAAACTTCTGTTAGATTCAAAGATGGAAGCAACATGGCTTTACATCGGACTTTATTGACAGAGTGAACTGAGGAAACAACAAACATGTCCAGCAAAGCAAGGAACATGGTTTACGATGGGTGCTTCGCTTTTGTGTATTTGTGCACCGTCGGGAGTTATTGCAAGTGATAAAAAATCTTCGATATCCTAATCGCCATGCTGTATCACATAGCTAATCTGTTGGGATCTGTCCACCGTTCAAATGCTCCGAAAGGATGGACCTCTGGATAAGTCTTTCTTTTTTTTTTTTTGTGTGTGAACACATTGGTCCTGTTTTGCCTGAACTACTTAAGCAGTACTTTTTAGCGAACGAACAGTGTTTTCCTGATTTGTTGTTGGACAGGCTGTAGTTGAATGCTAGAGTGTACGTCTCGGGCTGAGTCGGTCTTGACAAAGAGGTCTACTTTTTTTTTTTTGAGAGCAGGCATTGCCTGTTTTTAAGAAACAAAGAGCTCTACATTGAAGTTCAATTTTGTTGTGCCTGTGAATGGCCAAAATCTCACTTTCATGCACAACTTTGATCGGATGGAGATTGCTTCTTTTTATGCGGGTGTTTAGTCAATGGTATACGGCTTAACAGTCGAGGAAGCACATTCATGTTGTCTTCGTTTAATACTACAAGTTATTCACATTGCAGATCGTGAGATCGAACATCGTATGCCAGTATCGCCCAACTTGGCTAATGACTAGTTGGGGTTCGGTGGCCTGAACATTTAAGGCAAACCGTGTCGAACGAACGACTGCCATCGTTGCTGCTACAGCATTTTCAGGTCGTGGACTACAACATTGTCAGCCCCGTCCCGTCGTTACACTTTCCTCGCCAAAATCCTACGTGTGGGCACCGCGTGTCCACTGTCCACAGCACGCACCCGTCGACGGTTCCAACTTCCAAGCACCCTCCTGTCCTCGCCATCAACGACGCAACAACGCCGTCGTTGCCGCGGCCGCGCGCCGAGCGGAGCAGCCGCTTTGGCTCACCCCCTCCGCAGTCGTCGCGGCCACCGTCAGGTAACAGCCAACGCGCAACCTTGTGGGAAACGCACCCGGAAACACCGCAGAGCAGCCGGGAAAGTCAATCCGCGCCCTGCCCGTCCTGCCTTCCCCTTCAGCTCGCCCGTCGCATCAGTCAGACGACTCCACCGCCCGCGACGACGCGCTCCTCCGCCTGCCTACCTGCCCCCGCGACGCGCCTAAGTAAACCCCCGCCCCCGGCGCAAGCGTGAGTCGAATCTCCGGGCCCCGCTTGCTTTCCCTCCTCGCGTGCTCGGCGACTACTTGGCGCCGCGCGGGGCTCCATGGGCGCGTCCTCCAGCCGCCGCCGCCGGGACGACTACTACCCGCCGCCGCACCACTACTCCTCCTACCCGCCCCCGCCACAGCTGCCGCCGCACCACCACCACCACCACCAACACCCGCCGCCTCCACCTCCACCGCCGCACCACCGTCCTCCCCCTCCGCCGCCGCCCTCCTCGTACTACTACCACCCGCACCCGCCGCCCCCGCACGCGTACCACGGCCCGTGGCACCCCGCGCCCCGCCGCCGCCGCAGCCGCAGCCGCCCGCGCTGACGGGGCCTCCGCCCGAGTTCGTGGAGCACCAGCAGGCGCAGAAGGTGAAGAACTACGTCAATCTGCACAAGGACACCATCAGGGTCGTGCCCGACGACGCTGACCCCGAGCGCCGCCTCGTCGCCTTCACTTTCGACGCGATAACCGACGGCAGGTGAGGTCGGGTTATGCTGGTGTTGCTATTGTGTCTTAAAACACTGTAATGTAATGGTAACGGTAGTGTTTGATTTATTTGGCCGACCTAAATTATGTGGCTACTGCCTGCTGGAATTTGAGATTTATAATTTGCTTCATGTAGGTGGCTAATGATTAATAGAACTTGGCCAGTTATTGTTTTTAGACCAAAGCTCATCACCTACCCTTCTTAGAAAGTCCAGTAGTAAGATTGGCGATCCAGCAGCTTGGAAATAGAATACCAACAGTGGAGCTATGTGAAGAGGGATATGCTTTCATTTAGCAAATTCTAGGTGGTTCATTACAATTGCTGACTTATTTGTTTTCTATAATGCTTCAAGCTCGTAGATCAGTAATTGTTTTCCACTTCCATAATAAAGAAGCAGATGAATAGTTAAGTATGACTAGAGTAGAACTCTCAGAAGTTTAATGACTTACCCAGAATGCTATGCACATTTGCACGTGACAACCCAGCTAAGGATTAATAATGGGAAGAACAAGAATAGTTTAAATTTTCTTTTCTTTTCTTCCTCAGGTTTATCATATGTTTGTTATTCCTAGCTTAAATTTTTTTGCAATCTGAACTACAAATCACATGACTTCATGTTCAAACACAGTAACCACCACATTTTTGTTTATATTATTACTGCAACCAGTGCTCAAAATCCTGTTGTTACTGCTAGGCAGGTTTTTTAGTTAGATTGTTGAAATTTTGATATTTGGCATTGGACATGTAGCTGGTTGGCTACCAGCTCCTAGCAATTGTTTAGGAGACTACTGACAAATGTTTCTTTAGAAAAATCACACATCATTTCCCTTTCAAACTAGTGCAGCATGGATGAAACCTTTTGCAATTCTTAAAAAAAATGGCATTTTACTAGAAAATTCCAAGGGATCAAGGGCTCAAGTGCTCAACAATGTCCACCTACTTACCTAGATAGTAGATGCTATAAATAGCTATATTTAAAGAGTATCCATGCTTCTTACTAGCTCTAGCTGCTGAGCACGAAGTTGCAGCCGTCAGGTACTGCGTAAAATCGTTTGCATTTACTTTTTGTAGTCCTAATTAGCTCAACCAGTTGTGCTTAAAGCCTAAACTTTTAGGCAGAAGGGGCATGTGGCAGCAGCTGAAAATTTTGCCATGCATGCAACGCCGGTCTCCATTTTCTTTTTGAGGAAGCAACTTCAATCTCCATTGCCAGTATGCCTGCCTAGTCATGCTAGTTGCCATCCAAAACGACGTAGTTGTCATTTTCTTTTAGGTTGTCGAGGACTTTCTTTGACTGTCTAGCGCAGCAACCCCCCCTAAACTTGGCGGTTTGCAGCTGTGTGTAGCTGCCTAGTCATCCTAGACATTGCTATCCTATTAATATGCGTGTTTAGTTACCATTTAACATCAGTTGACACTTCAACTTGTCCATATCTTTTGCAGTGTGACTATATATTACTTGGCCAAGGAAGGAAAGGATTGTAGTTTTTCTTCAATATACCCAGAATTACAGACGCCAACAAAGATACCCTTCGAGAAAGGGTTGGCCCAAAGGTTTATCCAGCCCTCTGGATCTGGTGTTGACTTGGGATTCTTTTCTCTGGATGAGCTTTCAAGTTCGTCAGGGGAAGTGTTCCCACTTGTTGTTTGTGCAGAAGCATATCCATCTCCAGAGGAAGGTGGCCCGTCAGTAAACTCCACTCGTGCACAGATTACTCTTGCTGTTTTGGAGAAGCATAACAACGACCTTCGAGTCAAAGTTGTGAAGCAAATCTTGTGGATTGATGGCGTGAGGTATGAGCTACAGGAAATTTTTGGTATGGTCAACTCCACTGAATCAGATGTTGCCGATGCTGATGCTGATGACACGGGGAAGGAATGTGTTATCTGCTTGGCAGAACCAAGAGACACTGCTGTTATGCCTTGTAGACATTTGGTAAGTACATGATTTGCTGTATGTGCCTTTTATCTTCTAGATCTAGCTTTTGTTACCTTAGGTTTTGTCTGATTGTTCCTTTCTTATCCAGTGTTTATGCAGTGAATGTGCAAAAACTCTACGATTTCAATCAAATAAATGCCCAATATGCAGACAGCCTGTTGAAAAACTAATGGAGATCAAAGTTAGAAGTGCTGAGCCATAATGGAGAGTTTGCTGGTATCATTGCTGCTGCACTATGTTATGTAATTGTCCATAATCCTGTAACAACATCGATCTTGAAGTGTATAGTTCTGTTGATGGTTGTGAACTTGTGATGACGTGGTCTAGAAATGAACTGTGAAGACCTTCATTTGGCATTTGATCGCTTGGTTTTTCTTGTTATAGTACTCCCTCCGTCCCAAAAGAGTATCGTTTTTGCTATGAACATGGACAAACATTTGTCAAGATTCATAGCAAAAACGACACTCTTTTTGGGATGGAGAGAGTATATTAGAACACTGCATCTGAAAACTACCTTGTCATAGTTTTGTGCCTTGACAAAGCTAATTTTACACGTTTTTTTCCCCTGGTCAATTGTCATCTTTATGCTTTGCTTGACATAGACTTGCCTTTCCATGTTCCATGCCCGTTGTTGTCCTTCACATTTTACTTGTACTGTGATGTTGCAATTTCTTTCGTTTTCAGGGAAGTATCTCAGTGATGTTTCTCGCAAATGTATCTGGTAGTAAATCCTAGTAGTTGCATGATAGTTCTGTGAGCATAACAAAGCGTGTTTTTCCACATTTATTACTGTAACATTTTGTGTACTGCTTATATATCAACCAGGGTACAACTCAATTGGCATGTGGTTGACCATCTATCTGGAATCTGGAGTTAAAGTGGTATGCTGTGTTTCAGGTAAATTTGAACAAAAAGCATTGGTGTGTAAAGTCAAATTGTGTTTAGGTCATCTGCTGCGCTGAAAGGTGTGTAAAGTTCACTAGTGCTCCACTGCTCCTGAACCCAGCTTAAATATCCTTTGATCCTTCCATTGACCTGTTGCATCTGTACACAATTTTTGTAATGAACTTGATAGTTGATAGGCTATGTGCCATCTAGACAACTACAGTAGTTGATGTTTTGTGTGCAGTAAGTAGCCCCACCCACCCCTGATACGTACTAAAAAAATATGAATGAAACTGGTGGTCTGCTCCCATAGCCCAGATTCTTGTGGTATAAGCTTTTTGAAGATAAAGAACATGCAAGATCCACTTGGAGTTATCTTTTAATGTGCCATACATATTTACCCTGGATCATATTACTTCTGCCGTAAAGTTTTGCCTATCTTTGTGAAGTACTCTCTCCGTCCCTAAAAGAATGCAATGTATATCACCTTTGACCATAGATAAAAAAGTATAATTATTTATAATATAAAATAAATATCATTAGATTAATCATGAATTGTATTTTCATAATAAATTAATTTGGAGCCATAAATGTGAATACTATTTACTAGAAACTTGATCAAATGTAAAGCACTTAAAGTGGCACGCAACCCATAGTTGCATTCTTTTAGGGATAGAGGTACTACAACGGATGTTGATTTTTTTTTTGGGATCATTCAGTGAATCAAAACCAAAGTTTCGGTGTAAGCATATTGTGGCATAACCTCCTAAGAAATCGAGCTCACGTGCACCTATCGATGTCTCAACAGACCTCAGATAGCGTACACAAGTTTCCAACAACTTAACAGATCTGTCGGGTGTCCTCAGGAACCCGAATCATCCACGAATCTTTTCCAAACAGGATCCCAGTCACAGTCATTGCAGATTACAACAGTTTTTCAATATACATACCAGAGATTATAAAGCGGAAGACTTAAGTTTTAATATTACAAACCAGTTGTTTCAAACTTACAAAACCATAAGTGTCATACAACCATAGTAGCGGGATAATATTACATTAACATTATTTATTTCACACAAACTAGTGCCTTATCCAAAGGCCATTCATCATTCCTCATCGTCATCGACTTCAAACACTGACATGCAGCAGGGACCAAAACAAGTCTGCCATGCGACTCACCTGCAACAAGGGTTAACAAACCCTGAGTACAAAAGTACTCAACAAGACTGACCCGACGAAAAAGGGCGAAGGTCTTAGGGATGCAGGTGTTGGGTTAAGGTAAGGATGTAGAAAGATTCAAAAGTTCTTTGCCAAAAGCTTATTATTCTTGATCCTAGTTTCAAGTTTTACCCCTAAGTACTTTAGTTCAATATCTCCAACTAAGTGTTCATATCCCATGTTCTAATCCTTCTCATTCCATTTTTTTTCTCATGTTTTAGTAATTCACTAGTCCTGCATTGCTTCTGTAATGAATCGAGTCTCCATATCCGCGGAGCATCGGCAATTCGAATTGATTCAAGTCCCAGCTGGGAATTCCTTATCACACGACATATGTAGAACTTAATCTTGCATATATCAACCTCGCTACCGGATCCTCCCATACAAAGCCGTCTCCACGCCACCCGAGAGCACAGCACGCCTCAAATCCGGTCACATTCAAGCCACGAGGGTACACGCTACTCCCGCCATCTCACCACTCCCAGTGCGTGGGCATTCGTCTTAGTATCGGATTAGTCAAAGTAGACTTACCGGAGTATGTGACCAGTACTACAAAAGTGTCTCGTTCAAAAGATCCACAATGAGTGGCCTTTAAGCGACATAGTCGGCAACATTACCCAACATTCAAGATAAGCCACCCAACTAGTCTCTAATTCATTCTATCTTCTTTCTTTCTTTCTTTGGCCAGTATGCCATCTTTGATTGTATCGAAACTTTTACTTTGAAAACCTACCATAAAGCATACTAAGCAATTCTACGCCTTTGTAAATGAAATCATCTTCAAGGATGATAAATAATCAACAAGGTAGGCAATGCATCAAGTATGTAACATTTGAATAAATCAACTTAATGCAATAAATAACATAGGTGATAAACTTTTCAAAGTAAACAAGGTAATGGTTTAATGTATAAACCGGGGCTTGCCTTCGTTGACGAGCTCAGGTTCCGGATCAGTACCACAATTATCGAATCCCGTGATAACCGGGGATTCTTCCAGGACTTGCTCAACTAGAATCGTTTCACTCTCGGGTTCTACACGAAATGATAACATATGCTTTAACATGATGATAATGTAAACATGATGCTTTCATGGTACATGAAATGTAAAAACACCTCGAAAACGATTTTCCTTCACGGTACAGTTGCAAGCCAACAAAACCAACTGGCAATTCTACCGTCAAGAACCACACATGTAATTTAACCAAATGGATCTTGAAACCCTACTGATCATAAAACATGACCAAAACAAGATCCAACACTAATCAAACATTTAGGGTTTGCCTTTATTTATTTTTGAATAAATTTGGAATTAAGTCCAAAAATGAACTTGTTCTGAATGACATCAAAAATTTATGTAAGCTTCCTTATGTCAAATTAGTGTACCAAAACAAATTTCATAATTTTTGGAATTATACAGTGGCCTACAAAAATCATGGAAATTGCATTTATTAATTAATGGACTGAATATTTGAACATTAAAATTTTATTCAAATTTCAGGTTTCAAATTTTTAAACCATACTAGAGCATGTACAGAGGCTACACACAAAATTTCAGAATTTTTGGAGCTATGATTATTTTCTTATAAATTTTCAAAGATTCAGCACTATTTAAAATCAGAAAGTAACAAAAGTCACTATTCTCTCTCTTGCTCTCACTGACAGCCGGCCCCCACCTGTCATCCCCAACCTCGGGCATTGACTGTGGCTGCGACGGTGCTGACCGGCGCAAACTCGCCTACGGTGAGCCCAACAACGACGGCCAAAGCACTAACATGTTCACAAGAGCTAGGCGCATCGATTAGTGGCACTTTGGAGGTCGATTACGACATGGAACAAGGCTAACACCGGCCATGGCGGACGCGGTGGCACGGCAACATTATGCCGGCGAAATAAGGCCAGTAACGGTGAAACAGAGAGTTCAGGAATGTAACACCCCGGTGTTATGCCTGTATTTAGGCACTGCAAATCATGCATATCATGCATCATCAAGCATCCTAATCATACATGAATAATCTTGCATATAATAACTGAAACATTACTTCGAAACATACGAAACATGTTTGTGAAAACGTAAATGATGCATACACTTATTAGAGTTGTTTTGCTCTGATTCTTGCTTGCTAGGTTAGTAGAACATGTTTGGATGCTATTGTAAATCATCTAGCAATGTTTAGTTCAATTTTTGGAGCAATGTTTGTATTCAAATTAATTCAAAATTCGGCTTCAAAAATAAATTCCAAAAATTAGGGTTTTGAGCTAAACGTGGACTTTGATCTTCCAATTCAACATCTAGAAAGAATTTGGCTGTGGTCCTAAAAGCAAAGTTGTAGAGAATTAAATTCTAAGCAACTTTCATTTTTGGTACATTTTCAAAAGAGGTCATCTTCTTACTCAAAATAAGATTTGAAAGCTGGCTTTTAAAAAGTTCTTGAAAATATAAATGAAAAAGAGTTTTTCTGTTTTCGCGGGCCGCCGCCTGCTTCGGCTATTGACCCATAAGCCGCCCAAAAAGCCCCCTCGCCTTGCGCCCTTCGAGCCTTCAGCTGCGCTCGCCATTGGCCCAATGACCGCCTCGCTTGCCCGAGGCCCGCCCCGCGCCCCTCGCCGCTTTTTTCAAGCGCTGCGCATACAGCCGGCGTGAGGCCGATCGCCAGTCATGGCGCCACACCGTCGCCGAGCCACGCCATGTGACCCGCGCCACGGGCTTCCTGGCTTGCTGGCGAAGTCTTGAGCACCCAGCGCCCACCGCATTCAGCGTTCGCTCACTCCCGCTTGTTGCCTCTCGCCGCCTCTCACCGCGCCCGCCATCGCCGCCCGTGCATGCGCGCCTTGCCGGGCTTCGCTCGCCCGACCACCTCAACTCGCCGGTGACAACTCCGTCTAGCCTCTGACTCCGCCGTCATCCCCGCGCACCCGTGCTCTCGCTTCTTTGCGATGGTAAGCATCCCGTTCTTGGGAATTGCTCATGCGAGCACGGCCAGAAGCTTCATTGGTGAGCTCCGGCTCCCATGGACTCCCCTCCAGCTCCTCTTCCTACACAGATTGCTTTGCGCGCACAAGCACCGCACGGCGACGTTGAGTCTCCCGAGCGCCTCCTTG